ACCCAAAAAGTACGAACATGTCCCCAGGCAAATTGGGAACGGCGAATGACTTTCGTTGAATTATTTATGGCCCATGTTTTTATTTACATGAGGCTGCTTTTTTAGCTGATAACTCTGCACGCGAACCCGGCAATCTGCACTCCGGAAAAAAAGGCCGAGCCATTAAACGGCAGCAACACTTTGCCTTGATTCCCGGCATTAATGTGCGCAGGGAGATAAATAACGCAGTGAGTGGCGAGATTTCATTTGCATGTATTTCGAGTGGAATTCCTTTTTTATTTAGGCGAAAGACCTTGACAATCGTCATGCGATGACGCGCCAATGTCGAATTGGGATAGGTTGTTATTTCGCCCGGTGGCAATTTTTTATCCCCCACAACTTCATGGAAATTGGCACTCGGCCAGCGGGGAAAAAGAGGTGCGGGGGTGCACATGCAGATGCAGAGACTCATTTGCATTTGCACATCTGTTCGAGGCCGAAGACCGAGAGCAAAACAGAGAAAGCCACTCGAAACAAGCATTTAAAATCGCTTTATTGTTATTGTTATCCAGGCGCGGAAAGGGGGCCGGAACGCAATTAGCCGCGGATTCTACAGATCGCCGGCCAAGTTCCCAACGCCGATGTTTGGGCGACCGAAACAGCAACAGTCCAAATTGAATGTAATAAGAAAATGCAATAAATTCTCGCAAAAGCCAGACAAAAACGGAAGGCAGATAGAACGAGTGCAAGTCCAACAGAAAATACCCTTTATAGATCGAAAATATTATTAATTAGGAATAGAAAAAGTTAGGAACTAGAAATAAATAAAGCTAGATAAAAGTGCTAAACAGTCGTTTAACAATAGAACGATTGGCGGGGAATTGCAATACTTTTACAATCATTCATCGATTCATGCCTTTTTTTATGGTTTTTATTTATTATAATTTAAATAAAATTACCAAAATTTGCTTTAACTTATTATCTAGAAAACTAGATTAAAATTATTGGTTCCCAAAACCTTCTGTTTCTTTCAGTCTTGCCCACATTTCATGTTTAGGAATCAATAACAAAGAAATCAATCAATAAAAAGACGCGTTATCTTTAAATATATCAACGATAATATATCTCGTTAAAATTTCTACCTTTTTTTGAAGCTTTAAATAAATTATGGCTTATTACAACCTATTATTCACTAACTACGTACTGGTGACAGCAGAATAAAATTATTTGCTGACATGGTATAAAGACAAAACGATCAAATATAATTTAAATAAGCAGCAAACTATCACGCCGGCTTTATGTCCGTTGGCGAGCCGTAATTAAAAGTAATGATCGCAGTTAATGGTGATTTTCGTGAGTTTTTCCTTGTGCACCAAATACATCAGCATTTCGGTTCGACCACCACCTCCCAGCGCAATCAATTAAGACGCAAACAAAAACCGATCGCTGCCGGCTGCACAGTGGGCCTGATCGGTGAATGGGACGGTGGGGCCGTTGCGATTGCACGACCGCCGAAGAGCGGCGGCTGCGACGCGACTGCGATCGCTTTGTGGGGCAGACAGAGGCGAATTGTATCTGAGAGATACAGATACGAGTGCGCAGGCAGTCCAAAAGTTCGAGCGAACGGGTCGCCGGCAGCGGTGCTTTTTGTTGTGTTCTGCGGCAAATGGCAAGGGGCCATCGGTTTTTGCCTGCCGGTCGAAAAGTGCCAAAAAAATAAAACCAAACCGGGAAACGAGAAAAAAACAAAAACGAATGTAAACTCTCATTGGCAATTAAATTGTTTGGACAACAGCTGGAACATTTGAATACAAAATCGCATAGAATTCAATTGGTTCTTCCGCAGTTGAACAAAGAACTACTCACATTCTTCATTAAAATTTTGAACAATTTACATTTGAATTAATTAAAATATTTATGAAATAACCAACATTAAATGTCATTCGATTACAAATAAAATTATCATTGAATATTACCATCTTTATGAAACAGCCCGAGTGAAATGTCATCAAATTAAAATGCTCATAAATTTGCATAAATTAAAATGTTTTTTAAACCAATCATTAATAAACAACTAGTGAAATGGCCAGAAAAATTTATTCACGATAATAAAAATCATAGATACACGCTTGCATAAATTAAAATATTTTGAGCAAACAAATCGTTAATCACCATCAATGGTGAAATGTAAAATGTGCGATAAGATTGGCTTTGTTATTTAGATTGTTTGCTTGATTGCCACAATTTGTGTCAATTATGCGTGAGTGACACGCCCTTTGTACCAACGCCCACGCTTTTAATTGAAATTTGTCTGTTTTTTGTCGTTTCTGCCGCTTTTCGTGTCTTGTGTGCGTGCGAAAAATGCTCAGTTTTCGCTGATAAAGTAAATTAAAGCTGAACAAAGCTCTCGAAGGCGGGAAATGGCGGGGAAAGCGGAAAAGGCAGCCAAGCAAGGGCAATAACAACAACGGCGGTAGAGCAGCGCCCTGAGGGCAAAGTAAAAAGCAGAGCAGCCGAGTGAAAGTATGGGATTCTGATTGGAAATTACCATTCGGAATTCGAATCGATTTAATGATGATTTAGCAGGTTTGAGTTTACAGCAGCCACCGCTCATGAGACTCTTACCAAGTGTTCAGATGTGGGCTAAGTGCTCTGGAGAGATTCTCAGAAATTGCCCAAGTGTCGATATAATTTATTGATCCACAGAGATGGCAGCTAAAGACTGTGAGGTACCCTGCTTTAGACAAAATCTATTCTAGGGTCAATACACAAAACTATGTTGTGAAAAAACGTTTACATACAAATGTGTTCCATTTATAATATTTTACAAAGTAACAAGTACTTACGAGTTACAAAGTACACCAGCTAAAACTGCATTTTCAGCCGGGAATAATTCAAGCAAAGTGTCGAGACAATTTGTGAACAAGAAATCAGAGGCAAGTCGACTGTAGGATGCTCTATAGTTTCCATTACTTATAATATTTTTACGTAGCACAACATCCACCTAATAAATACATATCATACCCCAAATACTGTATGATGTACAAAATGATTTGTCGCCGAGAGCACATTTCAATGGGTTTTAATTGCCTTGCTTGCAATTGAAATTTATTGCCTGGTGTTTGTGATATCTAAAGCAAATTATTCATAAATTACTATCTATTTGGCCGAATGACGCCAACATTATCTGCTATCTACTGTACAATATTACGCTTTATCTATGCAACCGAATTCCGATGGCTTTCAACATGGCCATTTACATGTCGACCGGCAAATGGTTTTCAGAGCAATTGGCAATGGGAATTTACCACAATATTTTATCTCCATTTCGGGCGAGCGTATGTGAGCAGGGGTTATTTATTTGCGCGCCCAAATATTTGGTATTTCTATTAGAGCCAAACCGCCCGACTAACCGAAAAGCGAAAATGTTGTGATAGTTTATGGTCAGTCCGTGTCTCTGGCAGATAAATAATTATTGCATTAGCCGCGCAAATGTCGAACCGCTCTCGATTCGATTCGTTCGTTTCGTTTCATAGCAACGCCCCAGCTCGATTTTGAGCCGGGCCGCGAAACGTGACACTTGGCTATCAGATGTGGCACCGTGGCTAAAAAGCGGGGCATGTGGCACGTAACAGGTAACAGGTAACCGCGGCGAAGGTTGTGGTTGGGGAGATGTAAGCGGAGACCCGCCCACGTCGAGAATTCATCTGCTATCCTCCAGTTTGGGGCTAAGATAAACAAGCTTAGCAAATTAGCAATAGCTAATGAAGTGGTAAATTGCGCTGATAAATTACGTGTTTTATGTGGAAGCGATTGAGGCCTGAATAGAAACGAAGTAGCAACAAAATTGTGAGCATTTTTTCATAAGATACGTTATTACTTATCAAAATAATTTGTTTAATTTCACCTGGCAAGCCCATACACTAAGGTTGGATCAATCGGTTTCATCACCTTGAGTTGATAATAACGTGGATCCAATAATACTTGCAAAATAACAATGATTGTTAAAATATAAGCAATAAATAAAGAATTTAAATAACGAATCTACACAACACAATAATTGCAAATATTTCTAAGAAAATTTCCATAAAGTATTGGATAAAATTATTTTAGGTATCAAACTGGAAGTTTTATGTTTTGAGGTTTCGTACCTTTAGTTTTATAATGACTCACAACAAAATTTGAAAGGCGCGTCAATCAGTGTTATGCAATACTTTGATAACTACGTCAAGGCAATTAAGAGTTTTAATGGAATTATAAAAGCGAAAAAGATATAAATTATCTTATCAAAACTTACATTTAGGTAATTACAAACAATTTGTACAAAAATAAATGCAAACGGAAAACTTATTGATCTCGAAAGAAAGTCTTTTAAACGATATTTAGTATTTATTTTATGTTTTGAATTGTGACTTGTTAGAAACCTACTTCATCGGCGTGAACCCCAAAGAAAAAGCTACATTCATATTCATGACCGCCCAGTTTTCAATCAGTTGAAAGGGGATTCCATTTCCAAATCAAATCAAATCAAATCAGTTCTTGTTTGCCTTTTTAACCGCGTGCGAATGGGTCTCGGCAAAGTGGGCCCAAAACCGGCTGTCCCGTGGCCATTTAACAAGTTTCGTTCAGTCGAGTCAATTAGCGGCCAAGAGCGCCGGAGATCGGATCGCCAAGAGCGTCATCGGGGCCCAGGGTCTGACGTTTCGGATTGGTTTCAAATCGTCTTGGTTTACTTATGTTAATCAGCTGCTCGCCATGCAAATGAGCCTTAACAGCGGTTCTGTTAACGGTTAACAGAGCGCCCGAAAGCTCGCTACGGTTTTTTCGCTCCAGAAATGAAGGCAGTCAGTTGGCCTGGCCAGAACGCGTTTGTGACTCGAGCGAAGCGCACGTGCCGGGAAAACGATTCAAGTCCGCAGAGCCAAGAGGCCACAGGCGAAAGCTGGGGAAAAACTGCCCCTACATTTTCCAGCAACAACGGCGGGTGTGTGAGTGCGTGCGAGAAGAAATCTTGTGTAACCCGGAGAGGCAGAGAGAGAGAGGGAGTCCAGGAAAACTCACCACAGCCCTCGGACTTGGATTTTCCGCTCGTGTGAAAATACTCGCACGCTCACTACGTTTCGGTTCGCCCGCAAAGGCAGTTGCTGCTCCAATTCCCGTCTCGTGCGTGTAGTGCAGTGTAGTCCAATAAGACCAATCAGAATAAGTCATCGGTCAAAAAGTAAACAAAATAAACGCCACATGCCGATGGCACAAATGCTAGAAACTAGAAAATATGCCACCATTTTCTAGCCACCATTAACCCGAAGGAATTCTAATAATACCCCCGTGACAATGGCAGAAAATCGGTCATAACTACACCATCCATTAGGCATAAAAAACGATCCAAAAAAAACGCGAACACAATTGACTCGGAAATGATAGTAACTGTTGCTTGTCGCTCACAAACACAATCGCAGTGCCAGTAGCACAGAGTTTCGAATGGGTCCTTTGTGGATTTGTGTTTGCGATTCCGTCTTCGGATTGTGGCTTCAATCAATGTGAACTTTGTAGATTTTGTATGCCTATGCAGGGTAGCAAAAGAGTTGACTTAACTATCCGAAAGCTCACAAAAAATTAAGTTATTAAAGTACTATTAAATTATAAAGAATTTTTTTGTTAATAAATGATAATACGCCAGAGGCAACACTGCGTATGATTGATTTATTTGGAGACACTTTTCGAAAACGATTCCCATAAGTTTACAAATAATATGTTAAATAAATAATACTTGAGAACAGACAATACAGGTACTTCGTGATTGCGATAAGTTATAACATTTGCAATTTAACTTTTAATTCACAAAATAAAGGGGAAGACAACTACGTATGAGTAATATTTTATTTTATAATTCTATTTGAGAATTGTGTTTTAATTAAAATAAAATTAATATGCAGTTTATAGAGTTTCTAAAAGGTTTAGTTGACTTAAAAAAAGTCACTTCACTGAATGCATTTATGAAACGAATTATTTAAAGATTTCATGTTTGTTTTTATAAATCAGAAGCTTATTGAACTAAGGGTATAAACAAATCGAACCCCAAATTGCCCCACCTGCACAGGTGAGAGCAGTGGCCAGCAAGAACGTGTCTGTTAGCGAAGCACACAAAAATTGGCGTTGCAAAAATTTCAATAAAGCTGAAAAACAAAGGCAAAAACATTGAAATAAAAATTATTTCGTTTGCACTTCGCTTTTTATTTGCACGCGCGCTCACTCTTCGTCTCTTTTTGCGTCTCGCATTCAACAAGCTGAGAAAAATTATATTATTTGCAAGTTATTATTTAGCAACCGTTCCGTCAAAGGGGTGCCTGTCCACCTTCCTTAAACCCCCTCCCAAATTCTTTTGTACGATAAACCGTCGGCGCATTAAAATTAATGCTAATTATGAGCTTGTTTGTCCGTCTCCCGGTGACATTTGCCTGACTTTTTGTTTAATTGCTGCGCTTGTTATGAGAAAAATCAATTGAAATCGATGCGGGACGCGAGTGAAAAATAATTAAATAAACGGCGGACATGCGGCCAGTGATTAATAAAATTATGCAAATCGTTTTGCGCAAATTAAAGCGAGATTCCGAGGTCCAGTTTGGCTTAACGTATTTTTTTCTCTCGCCCATTATAAACGTTAGATGGCATTTAAGGCCCAATAAAAACACGCCGAGAACAAAAACTGAAAATCAATAAACACAAAGCCAGCAAGAAGTACGTAACAGGCGGCAGCAACAACACCCAAATGCGGCAACAACAAGTGAGCAAGTTAAAGAACCTTTGCGATTTGTAAACGCTGCGAAATACCCGTCGAGAAGGCAACAAAAAGAACATTTCAAACAACGCGAGGCGGGCAGCAACAATGTCGGCGGAGGGCAGCGATAACAACGGGGATCCCCAGCAGCAGGGGGCGGAGGGGGAGGCGGTGGGCGAGAACAAGATGAAGTCCCGCCTCCGCAAAGGAGCCCTGAAGAAGAAGAACGTCTTCAATGTCAAGGATCACTGCTTCATCGCCCGGTTCTTCAAGCAGCCCACGTTCTGCTCCCACTGCAAGGACTTTATCTGGTGAGTAGTTCGTAGTTGTTTTCCAAAGGTAGCCCCAAGCATCCTGTAGCAGCCAGGATATACCCCCAACCACCACCCACCACCCACGACCACCCACATATATACATAGAACTGCAGACATATATATATATATAGACCACCATTCCGCGGCGGCACTTGTGGGTCTACCAAGCATGGCCAGCAATGCGTCCACATAACATCAGTCGTGGGAATCGATAAATGTATATTGACAAGGCGAGGGAACTGAGCAACAAAAGAAGAATATCACAAATAAAAGAAACATGTAGCAACAAAAGCATAGCACACAGTGGTCGCCCGCATTTTTCAAAATATTTCCTTAGACAAAGAATTGGTTTTAAGTAATTCAAACTCCTAGCAAACCATGTTTAGATCATAGATGCATTAGAACATTTAAATAGATTGGCATTCCCTGAAAATTTTTTTCCAAATTTTTCGGAGAAAATCAAGATCGGTAAAATCCGAAAAAATCCATTAAAGTTTTAGTTTTTTGATCAAAACCATGGGAAATAATGCTCAAATGTTGGAATGTCATACCTCGTTGAATTCGTTATAAAATTTCCAATCCAATGGTATTCTCAGCTAAAAAAATTTATTTTTGCCAAATTTTCGCAAAAAATCAAGTGTTACCCCTTATGAAAAATGCGAAAATCGGTCAAAAAATAAATTTTACCAAATCAACCTGGTGTTGATTGTAGATGTTTTCAGTAGCACAAAAAAGTCATTCTCTTAACTGTGCGACTTATTTTGGCAAAGTTACAACAAAAACCATTGAAAAATGTGTGTTTGAATGTCTAATGGCCAAAATCTGGAAAAAATCAGCTCGATTTTTTCGGTTTTCTTATCAAAACCTTTTGAAATAATGGTCAGATTTTGGAATGTCATACCTCGTTGGATTCTGTACAAAATTTCCAATCCATTGGTATACTCAGCTAAAAAATTTTATTTTTGGCCAGTTTTCGCAAAAAACACAGTGCGAAAATCGGCCAAAATATAATTTTTTCAAAATCGACCAGAATTTGAAAGTTTAGAGGTCCAGCTGCATAAAACAGTCATTCTTTTTTTTGTGTGTTGAATTTTGGCTTAGTTAGAACGAAAATAAATCTTGCTTTAATGCTCAAAATCCGGGTAAAACCAACTTTAGTTTCGATTTTTTGTTGAAAACCCTAGTAAACAATGGAAAAATGTTGGAATGGATCACCCCGTTCAATAAATGTTTAAGTAGTTCCTTAATATAAAAATAATAAAATAATATAAAAATAACATAAACAAGTTATTAGTTTGATTTTATTCTTGCAAAAACCTCGTTACTAAATTCCTGCTATGAGCACGCAATCACTGTGCCACAAGTCAAGTGATTCCCCCAAAATTCCTATTGGTTTTTCTGGCCCGAAAGTTCAACCTAAAGCTAAAACGAGCCAGCACGAACAAAAGCTAACCTGTGTAATATTTAATTTAGGTAAGGCTGCCAAAATCTGTCTTAATCCATTGTTGCTCCCTAAGCAAAAACAAACAGAAGGGCCAGGCAAAGAGCACTGAAATTATTTGGGGCAACCTGTTTACTTTTGCAGTCCTGGCAGCAGGGTCCCAGTAGTCACTTCCTGGCCTGCCGACATCCCCGTGGATTATAAATCAATTTCATGCGCATTAAACTCCCTAAAAATCCAAGATGTGCTTCCGTTGAAAACTTATTGTTTGTTGACATGAAATTTGAACAGAATTTTGGTTTTTACAGCGGTTATCAGTCGGGATATGCATGGATGTGGGTATTTTGAAAGACATATTATACTTTAAGCCATTCGTTGAGTAATGCTAGAGAATCGTGGTAGATTTTGAATTTCAAAACAAAAGTAGAACCGAGCTCATTGAATTTCAGCCAAAGAAAGTCGGAGAGTGTCTAATTAATTCGCCACTTAATATTCATAGTCAGAGTTGCCCTCCAACCACAGACACTTTGACGAGCAATTCCAGTGATATTAATTCATATTTAATAAACAAACACACTCTGTCTTCCCGCAAAGTGTCATAATGCCACAACGTTGCGTTGACAATTTAAAGCCAGCGACTAATGAATGGATATGGAAGTCGCTCGCATAAAACCGAGCCAATTTATTAAGCCTGTCTTGTGACTCTCGTCATCGCTTTGGGCTCTTTAGCTAATTGTCGGCCAAGACATTTTGGCAATAATTAAATTAATTGCTGCTTAAAATGCGCCACCAGTCGCCATCGGCCAGCATCATCGATCTATGCCCATAAACCGGTGGGGCCGAAGCCGAAATTTGGGGACCCACCGCCCCAAAACGAGACGAGCGTAAAAAAATCGCAAAGCGAAGTCGCTGTTTGCGGCACTGCATCATTATTACACGTAATTAACGCGCTTTGACAGCAATACCAGTAAACAGGCTAAAGGCCACGCCCACCGCCGTAAACGCCCGTTTTTGGGGGCTGCAGCTAATTAACAACTCCGGCCACTGTTACACTTGCTTTCGACTTTTAATTAATAGTGCGGGACTTTGGGGGCACGCACACACCGCCGGGTGTTGCAAAAAGGCGTTGCAGGCACGTATCTGAGCCACTGGGGGGTGGTTAAGTGGGTGGCTCGATGGGTGGTGGGGGCTGGGGGGTGGCCCAGAGTGGGTGGGTGCGGCAGCAAAGTGTCACCCGCCTTCGTTTGCGGTTAGCAGGTGAAACATTTGCCATGTTCACGGCACGTCATTTGCATAATAGCGCGGAAACCGAAAAGGTCGCGATGGAAATTCCAGATAGAAGCCCGAAATACCCTGAACATATCAATTTACAATTTCCAAACGATAAGAGGGATACCATAATTAGATTTGATGTGATTTTTACACTTGTCTTGAGCTATGGTGGTAGCTCATATGACTTCTAACGAAATTACTATGAGTTTTCCATGGCTATGATATTAGGCTATAAATTAGATACATTTATTAGTATTATTATGACCAAAGGAAGATAAAGATTTTTGGGTTCCTAGACAATTGTTTATAGCTCACAAAACAGAACACCACAAGACAATGTTAGAATCAGAAGACGTTACTTAAGTAATTTGGAAAATGTATATATAAATTTTACTTGCACTTTGTGGGTTACCAATTGCGCAGGGTATTTGCAACTGGAATCGGCAACTAAGTTGGTAAACCCAAAACAGGAACTAATTAATTTGCACAAAGTCGGTTTAATTAGAAGACAATCTTGTAATAACAATCAACTAATTCCATACAAATAAAAAACTTAGCCGCAATTCAGGACACACTGTTTTTTGTTTCATTAATTAACTTAAATTGCAAACATTTTTAACCCCATCTCTTTGTGCCAGTTTTTTTTGGCGTTGTCGGAAAATATGCGCTTAATTAAAAATTGAAATGCATAAAAAAGATTCCGTGAAAAAATAATTGTGTGGGCGCAGGCGGGGTGGTAGGGGAGGGGGGGAAGCGGAATCATAGTATAACCTGCAGGCGCGGGAAAATTGCTTTTTCACTTCATTTGATGGGCAAACAAAAACGGGGAATAACCGAGGGAAAACAGAAAAACAGAAAACAGCGAAAAGCCAGGAACAGACAACCTGGTCGGACAAAAGAATTAAAATTAAATGGAAAATGGAAAATGCGGGCTGCAGCAGAGGCAGCAAACAGAATTATGAAACGAGCCGCAATTTCGCACTCGTTAGCAGCGATAACAAATCGCCCGATTTGTGTGAATTGTCCAAGTGGTTACGACCTAATCGGATCAACTTTGCTTTGGCTTAACGGACCGAACTTTAACCGGGTTTCGGGTCCGTTCGTGCCGAAACTTATTCAACTGCAGTTGCAAAAGTTGGCCCAGCACTTCCCGGCGCCTCAGCCAGCTCCTTCTATAATCTATATATATATATATATATATGAATATACTATACCATACTATATGTAGGTGCCTGCGTTTTCCCACCGTGCATGTGAATAATTTGCCTTGTCCCAAATTGCAGCCCTCGGGCACTGGAGGGTTAAGGGGTCTGCCCGGCGGTTTGTGGTCAAGTCATTTACGGTCGAGGCCTGGGACACGGCTGGGAGCGGCCCACGTAACCCTCGGCCTTTCGGCCCTACAACAGGTTCTGGCCATTAGGCAGTGGCCCGGAATGGGGCTCTGAATGGCTTTAAGTTTTCAGTTTAAATAGGCAAATATCCAGGGAAGCTATGTCACGTTTGGGGTGCTTAATTTTGGGCTTTATTACAAATGTCATACACATTAAATGAATAAGTAAATGTAGCTACACACACTATTGGTAGCCTAGATAGTGGAGCAAATACATTATATATTAATGTAAGGATTCTTGCTTCATATATTATATTAAGTAGTAGCCTTTTAGTTATGCAAAATTTGAATTAAAAAAATAATCATTATTATATTTAAGTCTTATGCAGTTTTGAATCTTTGATAGCCATGAAATAGCACTAAAAGCTACAGAGTACTTTAAATATCATTAAATCAGTTGCGATACGTACGAAACCAAATAAAGTAAGTTTAACCTTGAAGTATTTTGCTGCTATATCTTTGTGAATTTTTCGCTTAATAATACATTTCTGTCGCAATCACCCACTATGCCTTTTTAGAGTAGTCCCGATAACAGCAAAACAAACAAGTTGACATTAAACAGGCCTTTTGCTGTGGCCCTATAAATTCTCAGCCCGGTTTGCGTATTGATTAATTTTAAAAGGCCCCCGAGGCCGTGTGATTGGTCCTCCCCCGAGTAGCATATTGATTAATGGAGAATTAAATATTTATGCTAATTGATGTAATGGCAGTAAAAACCCGCCGACGATTGCAAATTGACCGTAACCACTTGGTTTCACTGTTTTGCAGGGGCTTCGGGAAGCAAGGATTTCAGTGCCAAGGTAAGGTTTCCCCGCCAGAAACCAGAAACCAGAAACCAGAACTTCGACCTGCGACTAACCCTTTCTCCTTTCTCCGTCCGCAGTCTGCTCCTACGTGGTGCACAAGCGGTGCCACGAGTATGTCACCTTCATCTGCCCGGGCAAGGATAAGGGCATCGATTCGGTAAGTGCGCACCAACACATATGCCCACGAGGATATACACATGCATAGATAGCAGGATAAGGCACCGACTGCATTTCCATGTGCGAGTGGAGGCTGCGGGGGTGGCCACCTATTTGCATTGCTTTTAGTCTTTGTGGGCTCTGTCAAATTAAACTGTCATTTGGGTTTTTGGTTATGCCGGGTCCGTCCGTCAGTCAGTCAGTCAGTCCGTCCGTCCATCTGTCCGTCCCTCTGTCCGTCTGTCCGTCCCCAAAGTCCCAGCTGTCGTGTCCGCTCGTCCCGACTCGCCTGTCAACTTTGCTTTGCCAGCTAAGCAGACTGGGGCTACAAATGCGAGTTTCCCTGTCCGACCGGGCTTTTCCTTTGCTGCTGGGTTATGGAAAATGTCAGTTGGATTTTTCCGCATACAGCCAGTTCTCTACACTGCGTATTTATTCAGGAAAGCCACATTACACGGAGAAAAGTGGGAGTTATACCTTTTACTTCAACATATTCATGTTCAACATTGGAATTTAGTTGGTTACGTTAACAGTAGCCCAAAGTCTTCTTAGAATTATAATTATAATAACTTAATAGTTTCACTTAATTTACAATTGGTTGGCCACCAATATGAACTGATAATGACAGAATTTGTTTAAGTGTAATGCTGGCTGTCCAAGGAGAAATGTTGTGATGGGGAGACAGGAAAATATGGCAGGAATATAGAGAAAAGAGTCTCAGATGGATTGGCTTTTAGGGCGGGACAGCTATGAAATAAAGTAGTTTTTTTTTCGGGCATAAATTCAAGTTCCTCCCCCCTCAACTACGCACATGGAAAATGCAGAAGAAAATGTTTTGTTTAAAAGCAGTAGCAAACTCACACTAAACTTAAGTAGAGATTGTCCTCTGTTATGTTTTCAGTGCGAAAGTTAGACGCGAACTTGTTAATTTGTCATTGTGCTCTGTTGATTTACCATGAACCAAATTTGTACTTTGTATTCTTTTCCATGTGTGCATCCACCAAAATCAAACCAAAACTCAATTCGCTGTCCAACTCACGCTGTCACGAAACCACGCACCAAAAAAAAAACACAACAAAACCAAATGAATTCGCAATTGAAATTGAAACTGTTGCAACCACAAAAAATAAATATAAATAAAAATAAAACGAAAACGAAAACGAAAACTAAAACTAATATAAAGGACTCACCAAAAACTCAACACAATTTCGAGCCATTCACATACGCAGGACCCACGTTCTGCGACCATTGTGGTTCCCTGCTGTATGGCATTTACCACCAGGGTCTCAAATGCTCAGGTAACCCCCACCCCCCGCTAGAACCCTTCCCCCCGATAAGTGTTTCCCCTCAGCTTCTCTCTCTATCTCTAACCACAAAAGTTTTTTCGCTTCTCTCTTTCACTTAACTTTTAATCCTTTTCCGAAAACCCGACTGACAGTGTAAATAATGATGATAATGTGTGCGTGTGCGTGTGTCTGTGTCTGTGTGGAATTAAATTTTAAACGCAATTTGACCTGGTCAACAACATGGAGAAAGTTTCTTTTGCAGGCCCCAAAGTTAATTATTTAAATTGTTCTACCTACAAGCACACACCTACAGATATATGTGAAGGCAGGCCGCACCTTTGTAAATATGTCGATACACCAGCAAAGGCTTCCTTTTTTCGTATATTGTTTGCTTACTCTTCACTTTCCCGTAACCGAACCGCACTGAAAGTTTTCTCTGTGTGCCACGTGTAACCCACTTTTCCACCCACTTTTCCACCCACTTTCCCCCCTCCTTCGCCAACCAATTCATTTGCATAATTATGCACATGCCAGGGATACTCCGAGGATTCCAGTGGAGGGGGCAAACTTAGTTGCCGAACAATGCTTGTCATTTGTTTAGAAATTTTTGTGCAGCTGCCCTGTGATATAAATATAATTTTAATGTGTTTTTCGGCCCACTAACAAATTGCGGAAGTGCTTCAGATAAAAAGTTTTCCATGTCCTGCCCCCAGGTTGTTACATTTTGGGGGAACATAAGTGTGCTAAATTCTCAATCCTTTTTATAGTTACGGTTTTTGTAGACATACCTTTATTTAGGAATAAGGAAATGCTTTAAGTCTTTTGCTTAAACTTCTGTTAACAAATTCAGCTTTTGTTTTCCTATTATTACCTATTTTATTAATTATTTATTATTTCAATTATATTATTTTAAATTGTCTAGTAGCCTTATTTAATGAATTTTCAATACTGATATTTATTTAAATACAAAATAATGTTTTTGCATGACTTACGCCGAAATGACTTTAAGACTTTACATTTTAACTTGTCTAGTTTTCTTTAAATACTTTATTTTAAAATGTAATTACTCTTGTATTTAGACAGAGGTTAATTTGCCCCTTTTTGGATGAGGGTGTGGTTCTACCCCTTGAGCAGCCACCAACCGACTTTCTGACTTGACTCTTAAGTATTATTTTGGCTGGCTGCTCGAGCAAACTGTAACTACTGAAGAGCCTTTCCATGTGGCTTGTCAGTGGGTCTGGCAATTAATTCACAGCCATGGCAACCGGCTTAATTAGAGCGAGTCAAGTGTAAACACCAAGTGCAGAGGCAATAAGAGAGCATTCTGCGAATCGGAAATCAAATGTCACATCCATCTGTGCCCTCAAGTGTGATGCTGTGGCCATGGCAACCCCGACTGAACCTGAATGCGCCCCTGCAAATGTCTAACTCACTTAGCCTTTTCTCCTGCCCTCTGTGTGTGAAACACAATCTGGCCCAATAAGCTTAAATGTTACCATTGTCAGTTGTGTTTGTGCCACGACTTTCGGCTCTTTATTGCCACCCCCCTGTGCATCAAATCGGATCAAATTTATTGCGACAGCTGTAGGCAAATCAATTTTGGCCAAGGCTTAGCTTCACACCTGAGCGGAATCGATTGGCATTGCTCAAAAATCTGATTGTAGCTGCTTCTTGAACCGGAAATTGAAAACAAATGCAGTTGGGCCCACAAAGTGCCATCGGATGGCGATATGACCACATTTGGGAGTCCATATGACCGCCGCCCAACTCCTCTTATCTGCGTTGTCGGAATAAATGACATGGCAATTTATATTTGCCAACGTTCAACGCTCCACCGCTCCACCGCCCATTTGTTATCGGGCATCAGTTGTTAATATGCCGGCAGTTATAGTACGTACGCCGGCGTTTCATATACCGAAAATTACATTCAATGGAGTAATGGGAGCTGCCAGCCAGCTAGATGATGATGGCGATATGGAAACGTGGGGCACGAATTTGTTAGGTGACAGGCTGCGACGCAAGGAATGCTGTGATAAATTTGCGCTGCAAATATTTTTTCAAATTTCTGCGCTGGCACGTGGCAAATAAGTAGGCGTCAAATGGGGGCGTGTTAGCCAAATGAAATTCTATCTGCGTGTGCGTGTGTGTGTGTGTGTATGTGCGTGGGCCTAGAGATTTATTGGGAAATGTCTGACGGGGTGTTTGTTTACGAGGCTTTCATGTGGCAGACACTGTGACGTAACGATAAGAGCAAGGCACACAATTTCAAACACTCGAGCGACAGTGGCTTAAATTTGGATGTAATGCTAGCTGCCATTATGTTGTGGAATAAATTGGTTTAGTATATACACATGCCATTTAAATTGGTTAACAAAGTAGGGGCTCAATTCCTTTTGGAAGTCTTTTTAAATGCGGTAAAGAATCGTGCTTATGATAAAAGGTCTTTAAAAAGAAAGCTGTATATGTCCACTTCCGTATGGTAGTTATCAATAACTAAAGTCCCACATTATATCGAATTTCCACCGTACTCACCGAATTCCGCAATGCCAAGGGTCTCGATTCGAGTGTCCACACCTGTGGCTATCCAGGGTCTTTCGGAAGCGAGTCCAATTGGAGGCCGCACACACACACACACGTGTTTACCTTCAATGCGATTGCATTTTATCCAAACAAATCCCCCGCCACCCCACATCGACCACCACCCACCGCCCGCCGCCCACATCACGGCCTTGGGCATGCCCGCCAAAGTATGCAACAACTTTCTCGCTGCGCCGCTGCCAAGGTCGTTCGTGTGTCTGAGTGTGCGAGTGTGCCAGTATGTTTGCCTTCCGCTGGTGTTTGTCTTTTGGTAGCAAAAGGATATTAATGGCTGAGCAGCTGTTGAACCTTGGCAGAGACAAACAACAAATTTCTGAAGCCCCCCAAATACCGAAAAAATGGGGGAAGGACCTCGAGTGTTTGGGGGGAACTACTCAGTGGATGCTCGTGCAGGGGCATAATGCTATCAAATGTCCTTGCCTGCGGCACCACCCACCGCAAACTGGCACAACAATCGACTCGGTTGTGTGGGTGAAATGCCGCCCGCCCACCAAAAGAAAATAACCTTAGAGTTTTCAGCCAATGTCACGTGTGTAAGAGATTTTTTGTGTGTATGAGTGCAAGAGCTCCTTGGAAAGGATTAGGCAGCAATTGTCTTTGCAACCTTCGCTGGTTACTTATGCTCTTCCGTCTACTGTGTGTTGTATATGTATGTGCAGCTACCCACTCATCACACTGCCACTGCCACCACTTTCATTTGATTTCGCTGTTTGTGACATGTGTTGGCCAACTTGCAACTCAATTAACGTCGCGCTTATTTCATTAGTACGAAAGCAAAGCTGCCTCAGTGGAAAACATCTGTATTTAACATCCAAAAGGGTGGAGTTTGGGGGACAAACACGCTGATGAAACGGTCTCGAAAAGTCTTTAATTTTATCAGTATCCTACTATAAACATCTGCTGACAATATTATAATTGTAATTCTAAAACTTGTTCGGCTATAAGTCCTCCATCTACTAAAAAATCTATATTACCATTATCTTAAGCTTGGATAACTTACAATTTATTAATATACAAATTTCAACAATTGGTTCGTTGGTCAAGTGAGGTCAAGTTTGTGCAATATCATTTAAATTGAAATCCCATTTTTAAATCCCCTTTCCTAATTTATAAATTATAGGTTACTGCCTGTAATTGGTTCTAAGTGTTAGGATTCATTATCATATGTGACTCAAAACAATGTATATAAACATAAACAGATTAAACCATTTTAAATAGAATCAGCTTTTTGTTGCGTATTTTGTGTGTTCTTTATCTCATGTTGTTAATGTTTTGTTATTTTGCCATTGCACCTATGTAGCTTTTACGAACACCTATACCTATGCCCAGCGTTAATTTTCCATTAGTTTTCTCTTCCAATCCAAACTCAAAACCGAAATCGAAATCGTAATCGAAATCGGGCAGGCGCATCAAATGCCCCACAAATGGCAGAATGTCACCTTCCTGTCGCCGACGTTCTGCGATCATTGTGGGTCCCTTTTGCACGGCATCACGCACAAGGGTCTCAAGTGTCGAGGTAAAGTCCCCTATATAGTACCCTATATAGTCCCCTATATAGTCCCCCCTATGTAGCCCCTATATAGCATATCCCCCCTTTGTCGGCCAAAGTGTCCCAACTCATTTGCATTTTTGGTGGCGGCGCCGCAGACTTTTTAGATTGTTGCAATTTACAATTAGCTGCGCTTTGTTCCCGCTCAAGTGTGCACTTGTCTTTGTGTTTGTGTTTGCCAGAGTGTGTGTGTGTGTGTGGGTGTGTGTGGCACACTTGGGCGAGTTGTTTGTTGTTGCTTTTGTCACTGTTGCTGACAAGTTTCCGCCAGCTTTTCCCGCTTTCCCGCTTTTCACCCATTTCATTTGCCTTGCCAGCTGCCTGCACTTGCTTTTCTTTTCAGTTTTCGTTGACATTCTTAAAAACTTGTTAATTTTCACGTTATTGCAAGTGCATGTCAAGTTTGCAAAGCCACTTAATAAATGTTTACTAATTTTAAAGGCCCAACAACGTATTTACGTATTTGTAGACCCCATATTTAGCGCCTATCTGTTCCCCTTAGCGTAGAACTTTCCCAGTCATTTGCCTTCGCCAAGGGTTATTAAAATATATGTATTGTGGGATGGACCAATACCTTTTTGCCAAACAAAATAATTTAATTACGCCCCATTGACCCAGGCAAATACACACGAAGGTCGCCAGACCCGAAACTAATGAAAATGTGAGAGTGTCCTTTGTGTGTGAGCATCCCAATGTGGTTTCTGGTTGTATTGTTTCGGATACCTCAATTAGTGTCCTTAAAAATAAGTGATACGAAATATTTAGCGAATATTCAAGGCAGCAAAAGCAACTGATATTCAGTAATCACAAAAAAGGACTTTAAATTTCCCTATTAATCTAATTTATTCTCAACTCTGGATATTCTTAAAAGATATTCAGAAGCTTTGTAAGTTTATCATTTGAGCTAGGATTACTGGAAAAGTAAAACAATATTTCAAAATAAATAGTAATCCCAACCTTGTCCAAAGCTTTTAGCAAAACGAAATTAGGTTTTCATGCCACTTAATAGTCAGATTATTTCACAGAACTTATTATTGTTAAAAAAAACACTAACCATTATAACCAACAAATAAACATAATTTTGTACTTTCTGTGTTGACAGCAAATTGGATCCGTTACTTAATAGTCATTTTACTGAGAGTTTTCTTGGTCCTTAATTTTATTTGATACATCGAAAACGCTGGCTTAATAGCTAAAAGATTGTTATGGATGCTATTAAGTGCTACGATAATTCGATTATGCACCAATTTAGATCCAGACCAATCCATTTGGCAAAGCTTTATTTATAACGCTCAAACAAAACTGAGAATCAACTAGTAAACAATGATGATCAGCGTCTTTCGGTTCTTTCTCCTAGCAACTCTCCTGGTTGCGATTGTTAGTCCTGTTTTTGGACAAAAGGGCAGACAAAAGAGGAATATTGGTGCACGTATGTAGATTACCTGTTGTGATTTTCTAGGTGTCAGTGACATAGTCTATTCAATAATTCAGGATGCGGACGAGGATGGTGTGTCACGAGGGAACATCCTTGTACTAATATATTTGATTACTGCTCAAACCGAAATGAGAAATGTTGCGTCTTCCCAGAATGGGCTAAACCGGTTTTTTAACATGTATTTCTTCCAGGAGGTAGCTACAAAAAGTGTTGTTCTTTAATAATATGTTACTACAACTCCTCTTCAATTTCAATACATCAAAAAAAAAAATAAACAGCATTTTTTGAGGGGCATGGTGGTTGTCCACGCATACCAGTGAAGAAACAATGTTCGAATTTTCGATATGAAAAATGTTGGAAGATTCCAGGATGGAAACAAGACCCTTTTTGTTCCAGTTGCGAATCCCCAAATGGCTTTTGTATAAATTAAAGTAGCTTATATCTTTGGTTATTCCCAGTTTTAATACTAATGGCACAACAAAAAGTTCGACTTATAGAGACTTTAAATTATACTTCATATACTTATACTTATGTGTATGCATATCTATAATATGTGAAGCTACGTTTCTTCCTATGATTCTGAACTTAAGGACAATATTATACAAGAAATGCAACAAAATAAGTACTATGCAAAATCAATTATTCTGAGCATTAATGGCTACATTAATTTCTCTTTAAAATGCACTGTTGTTTTGACCAAGACTAATTGGTTTAGCCTGACTCTATATAAAAGTCTTGAAAAAGTTTATCTTAACTAGTTAACAATGATAATCAGCTTATATTGGTTCCTTTTGGTAGCAGCTCTGCTGAGTGCGATCGTTAGTCCTGTATATGGGCAAAAGGGCAGAAAAAAGAGGAATGTTGGTGAACGTATGTACATAACTCCTGACTAGCGATTACTGCCATAATAAAATTAATAATTCAGGATGCGGACTCGGATGGTGCGTATTAAGAACCTTCAAATGTCCACATTGGATCAATGATCATTGTCAAAATAAAAATGAAAGATGTTGCGTATTTCCTGGAATTCAGGGTTAAAGAAGTTATACCCAAAAAGGAGACAGGTATTGCAAACATCGAAATATTCTATAAAACAAATACGAGTATATTACGATTCTTGTGCGTATTTGTTAAAAACTACAGAAGCTTTGTATATTTTCCGATCAATTTTCTGTTTTAATAAAATTATAATGGTTCTCCTGAAATTGTTTACGTTTATGAAGCTATAATTTTGATTAAAAACCCAAATAAACAATTAAAGACCACCTGGAAAACGTGACTTTAGTAATATATAATTATATACTACCGATCCATATTAACTTTTAAACCATACTTAAACCAATTGGCTTAACCAATTTAAGTTCAGGAAAATGCAATTTTCACGGCATTTAAAGTATAAAAGATGTCCACACAAGCTAGTCGGTTAAATAATTGCGCAACTTCAGCAAAGATGATCGGCTACTTGAAGGAGTTCCAGGAGGCAGCTCTCCTGTCATCGTTCCTTGATCCCAATTATGGACAAGTCCGTTAGTATATATAACTTATATTAGGATCCTGCGATGACTGATGAAGTCTAATCAATATTTTAGCATGCGGTCAAAGTGGATATTGTGCCCAACTCACCAATCCTTGTCCAACAATACCCGGAACTTGCCCTGCTGCCGAGAAATGTTGCCGTGATAGGCGCAAAGGGCGAAGTCCATATATAAAAGTTCATAAAAACAATACTTTTCAATTAATACAATTGTTATAATTTTTAGCAACTGTACCTTTCTAACTGATTCTATTATTTATGGGTAAAGGTTTATATGAGAAGAAATTTTGTAATTCACGCTTGCCACTCGTGACATATAGTAGATGTCTTACGATTTCGAAAATAACATTTGTATTCCTATATAAATCGAATCGTTTTATAGTGTGACAAGGGATTTGCACAGGGATTTGACATGGTCAAATAAATTTATATTATAAAGTTCAGTTCCCTGAAAGTATATACCATATATCCAACTTATTTAGATCTTCTGTGTTATGATGTAATAGAAATAGCTGCTTACCATATGCAAACACCTTCTGACATTATTCACAATATGTTTTGAAGGTTTTGTGCCAGATTTATATAACTCTCCCTAATTCTTATTCGTTTTTAGCGTTCCTTATGAAATTAGGTGTTATGTAATTGCAATTATCATGCCACAAATTATATTAGATTCTCCAAAAAATGAAATACAATCATTTTATTCGTTGCATTGGATAAGGATGGATATCTATTTAAAGGCCTTTCTTCTAATTACTCTACTGTCCATGATATATCCTACCAGAGCCCCCACACACCGTAAGTGTAACTTAAAATAGAAATCGCGATTGCTTATATGATGTTTTAAATATTTTAGCGGATTGCGGTCCAGCTGGACGCTGCTATACCGTCAACAAACATTTTGGCAGTTTTAGGCAGACAAGATGTGTTCCTTGCAAAAAGAAAACTAAATGATTTCTGTACAGATAGGGTTACAATTTAAAGCTTTGCTGAAATAAATATCTAGAATGGGAAAAAATTAATAGAAAGTAAAAAGGCGTTGACATATGTGTCCTTCTAGCATTAAATGGTCGTCAAACGCTGCTTTAATTTATTTTTTGACTTTTATACAATGGGGGTTTCAAGCTCCCAATTAAAAAGCGTTAAGCCAAACAATTTCTCGCATTAAAAATAATCAAGGTTTGTTCGATGTCATAGATGTTTCAACTGGTAGAAATATAACCAAATTACACGTTTCACAAAGTTACATTTAATATACATTTTTCGGCAAGCATTTTCGGAATGTCAAGCTACTAAATTAAACGAAGGAAGTTATTTCGCTGAAACAAGATGGTGAAATATTTGATAATGTATGTGATGACATTCCTGCTCAGTCTTCTTGGCATTTGTTTTTCATATGCCCCTATTTGCTTTTGCTCCTAACGAATATTCAAAAAATGTTTCGCTATCATAGGCAATTTTTAAAGCTTAAGATATTTGAGACACGGCAAATACAACTTTCACTGATCCACAAAACTGCAAACATCCCACAGATGTATGCGAAAATAATATATGCGAACGGGGAAAGGGAATACAAATACATGGGAATGCAAGGATACCACACAAAATGGAGGCTACATTATGAATACACACTCATATCTGTGTGTTTGTTTTTTCCTGTGTGTGTTCTTGTTTTTGCGCCACGCCAAAGGAAAACTCTTTTTTTTTGCCTTTGTTGTACACATTTTTGCACATTCTGTGCTGACCAACATGCCACAGGGCCGCCCGGCAAAACGTAACTTAAATATCACGCATACGCAGCGAGAGCAGGACATTACGTATACGCAACGTTCGCTCGAATGAAATTAAGACCCGGCCAAGGGTGCGGGGAGAAAGCAAAAGTAATTTTACACTTCACCAAAGCGGAATGTTGCCAAGAGAAAAGAGCCGAAAGGAAAAGTCGGGGAAAGCGGATATGTGAGCGGAAACTGAAGCAATCGGCAAAAGCAGGATGATGCCCATTGATGCCCCATGATGGCCGATGATGATGGCAAAGTGCTTTAATTGAAAACAAAACGTATTTCATGAAAATAACTCGCAATTTGATTTTAGCAAATAATTTCCAATTGAACGCTTGCCACTTGTCATAGTCAGAAGTGAAGCTTCAATCGGGGAGAAGCAACAGTTTGTCAATTTCCGCTGGCAGTAAAATGGGGAAAAACCAAATGGGAGGGTTGTGATGGGTGAAAAATGGGTTTGGGTTTTATTTACTGATTGGTTTTGCCAGAGAGCAGCTACAGCCCAGATTAATCGTCTGCATATTCACGGGAAAACTTTAGTTTGCACCGACAGACACGGTAAGTACTTGACTTTTGCTCTGTGTGCGAGACTGTACCTCTCTGTACGTGTGTGTGTGCGTGTGTGTGTACTGTGTTCCACTTCAACATCCAATTCATGCCTATCAATCCCACTAACCAAACTCTATTAGCCCACCTTTACCCCTTCGCCTTCAGCCTGTTGAAAAGCCGGACTTAATTTGTACATTTGGTTAACATTTTTCCAAAACCCCCCCTTCAGCATGTGACATGAACGTGCACGCCCGCTGCAAGGAGAACGTGCCCAGTCTTTGCGGATGCGATCACACGGAGCGGCGGGGTCGCATTTATCTGGAGATCAATGTCAAGGAGAACCTGCTGACTGTCCAGAGTAAGTGGCCCCCAGGCCAGGGGAATACACATTTAAGCCGCTTAAGCATTGTTACCAATTATGGCCGAGCGTTCTAAGTTTTTTATTTTGTTGCTGCGGCAGCCTTCGGGGCGAGTGGGCGGCAAAAAAGTTTACGGAATATATAAAAGGCAAGTGGAAAAGAAATTATGCCCCGGGAAGCCGCAAAGTTTGCCAAGCAACGCGCTTAAAATGTTACATCTTCTCCGCAGTCTTTGCGCCTTTGTATTTCTTTGCTGCTCGGCGTTCCGATTCGGTTCGCTTCCTGTTGGCAGAAGGCTCCTCGGCCGAATGTTGCAAGTCCTTTGGGCTCCTGGGAAAATTGCTTACGATTTGCATTAATTCATTATGCGCGCTTAAGGAAATTCTCTGTACTCGTTCTCCTTCGTTAGCCGCAAATGCCACATAATGAATGCTAAACTAGAATGCAGTTGCAGAACAAAGGAGCGTAACGGGCGGGGAGGGGCGTGGCGGCTGGATGGGAGTCCTCCAGGACACAATGCTTTGTTCATGCCCAGGAGCATATTTCACGTAATTTCCGTAGCTGCCGCTTTGTGGCCGGAGTTTTCACTCAACCGGGATGGGTTTTAATTGACTGCTTATGCCACAGAGCTGTGCACCACCCACATTCCATTGTCCTGCCTTTCAGTCAAAGAGGGTCGCAATCTCATACCCATGGACCCGAACGGACTCAGCGATCCCTATGTGAAGGTGAAGCTGATTCCCGACGACAAGGATCAGTCCAAGAAGAAGACTCGCACCATTAAGGCTTGCCTGAACCCTGTCTGGAATGAGACGCTCAGCTAGTGAGTATTACTTGGGTTTCAATAACATATTAAATTGGATTGTCACACATTCAAACACAATGGTTAATCGTCTCTTAGCGATCTTAAGCCCGAGGACAAGGATCGACGCATCCTGATCGAGGTGTGGGACTGGGATCGCACCTCCCGTAATGACTTCATGGGCGCTCTGTCCTTCGGCATTTCGGAGATCATCAAGAACCCCACCAATGGTTGGTTCAAGCTGCTCACCCAGGACGAGGGCGAGTACTACAATGTGCCATGTGCGGATGACGAACAGGATCTGCTGAAGCTCAAGCAGAAGCCGTCGCAGAAGAAGCCGATGGTGATGCGCAGCGACACGAACACGCATACGTCATCCAAAAAGGACATGATCCGGGCCACGGACTTTAATTTCATCAAAGTTCTGGGCAAAGGATCGTTCGGCAAGGTGGGTACAAAACTACGTCACTAAATCTGCTTTACCTTTAAAGGAATTTATCATATACAAATTTAATTAAACCATACTCTTAGGTCTTGCTAGCCGAACGCAAGGGCAGCGAGGAGCTGTATGCCATTAAGATACTCAAGAAGGATGTGATCATCCAGGACGACGACGTCGAGTGCACCATGATCGAGAAACGTGTCCTGGCACTGGGTGAAAAGCCACCCTTCCTGGTGCAATTGCACTCCTGCTTTCAGACAATGGTGAGTCAAGTGCAGTGGGTGTCCAAACAGAAATCAGATGAAGAATGCCTCCTTTCCAGGACCGTTTGTTCTTTGTGATGGAATACGTTAACGGAGGCGATTTGATGTTCCAAATCCAGCAGTTTGGCAAGTTCAAGGAGCCAGTGGCTGTGTAAGTGACCTTTCAGCTTGCCCTCGTTCTCTTTGGATATATTTTTGCAACTTTCAATAGATTCTACGCCGCTGAAATAGCCGCAGGACTCTTCTTCCTGCATACCAAGGGCATACTGTATCGGGATCTGAAGCTGGATAATGTTCTCCTGGATGCCGATGGGCACGTGAAGATTGCGGACTTCGGCATGTGCAAGGAGAACATAATGGGTGACAAGACCACAAAGACTTTCTGCGGTACCCCAGATTATATAGCTCCCGAGGTGGGTCTTTCAGGTTAGGATTTAATAAGGAAGATTAATACTAATATTTTACTTTTCTTCAGATCATTCTGTATCAACCCTATGGCAAGTCGGTGGACTGGTGGGCCTATGGAGTCCTGCTCTACGAAATGTTGGTTGGCCAGCCACCCTTCGATGGCGAGGATGAGGAGGAGCTGTTCGCCGCCATCACTGATCATAATGTCTCCTACCCGAAGAGCCTGAGCAAGGAGGCCAAAGAGGCCTGCAAGGGTGTACGTTACTTTGCACTTTTGTAGTTGGAAAATGATTAATTTAGAAATGTATTTCAGTTCCTAACCAAGCAGCCAAATAAGCGTTTGGGCTGCGGTTCCTCTGGCGAGGAGGATGTGCGTCTGCATCCCTTCTTCAGACGCATTGATTGGGAGAAAATAGAAAACCGCGAGGTGCAGCCACCATTCAAACCGAAGATCGTAAGCAGTTTAAAACCTCATATCCTTACCATCAGGCAATTAAACCTAATTGTTTTCCAGAAACACCGCAAGGATGTGTCCAACTTCGACAAGCAGTTCACATCAGAGAAAACAGACTTGACGCCCACGGACAAGGTGTTCATGATGAACCTGGATCAGTCGGAATTCGTTGGCTTCTCCTACATGAACCCCGAGTATATCCTTAGCCCATAGATCCGATCCGATCCGATCTGATCCTGTCTAGTTTCCATGCTGCGAGTTGTGTCCCTTAAGTCTATTTTGATATTGATTTTTGAAAAGACATTTTGTAAATCTTTGTTAAGTTTTCTGTTTGGTTTTCGACCATTGTGTGTATCTATATTTATTGATATTGATTGTTAAGTTTTAAGTTAATTTTAAGTGCTAGAAACTGTGAAACAGAGCTTTAGTTGTGGAATATTCGAATACTGTTCAAGAGCACGTCCTCACCTCAAGCCAAAAAGAAAGCAATAAAAATCAACATTTCAAATTCCTGATAGCCTATCACTCTGCGTAGAACTTTGTTCGATTCTGTCCGATTTCAAACAATATTTCCAAAACATGTACTTCAGCGAGCTTCGAGCATTTGCATTTTCCATTTGGAAGATAACTTTTTAGCCAACATCTGAGTGTTTTTGTAGCCAATTAATCGATTTTAATAGTAAAGACAGTGGGAAAACTTCCACACAGTGGGAAAACTTCCACACTTTCCTCGATAGAGCAAGGATGAGAGAGACTTAGAAGTTTTGGGCCAGGTTCAAACGTCATTCGATTGTAGTGCTAGCCCCGGCATTATAATCAAATCGAAAACGCGTTTAGGTGAGTTCGCCAAAGAGGGAGAAACCAAGGAGAACAACTAAAGTTCCCAAATTATTCAATACTTAAGCAGAAATATCATAGAACAAGTGTTTTTAAATTCCATTAATATATCAATGTGCGTGTAAATTAATTTAACGTTTTATTTAAAAAGCATTGCAAACACACGAGTATATATAGCACGTCTATATATATGGCTGGCATAGAGTCTCAATGTACCATAATTAACAAATTGCATAGCAATAAGTTAAGCTTAGACGATACTTAACACTAAAGCTGTAAAACTAATACTGTAAAACTGTAAAACTGTGAAACTAAAACTTTTGCTCCTAACCTAGGGATAACTATGTTAGATTGTTCTTGAGTTGGACACTTTAGTACCTTCACAGGAATCTAGCTGCTAACAACTACTGTTTAACTATGGGAAAGACAATCTACTGTAAGCGTGTAAAACTATAGTCGTCGTATATAGCCTAGACCGATTTCCAAATTAGCGCCAGCCGAGCTAAGCTTTTGTGCCTCTCGTAGCTATCTTTCTCTCATAGAAGAAACCTTAACAGAATTCATGCCACACGAGGCTATTCGTATTTATAGGGAAATTACATAGTTATATGCGTCTGTCGAAGGGGAACTTGTAGCCAAGCTAATTGCGTGGGTCACAGCAGAGTAATTAAAGTGGTGATTAACGATCTAACAAGAAGTGGTAAAGCTTAAAAGTAGTTTGAACTAGTAAATTCGATACATACTAAAATTAAATACCTATAAACTAAATATATAAAATTGTGTAACTCCGAACTTGAAGCATTTAAAACGTTTAATTTAACTCTCCAATTTGAAATCAAAACGTAATCTAAGCCAAGAAAGTAGATCAAATGATATACTCGATCCCGAAGACGATCGATGAGTACGATTCACAACCAAGATGAGTAGCACTTAACGTTCAACCCGAGGGAAATAAATATATAAATTTGCTCGTATTTTTAACAATAAATGTAATGCATAATTAACATATATCTATAGATGTATATGTGTGTCTGAATTACTTTAATGAATTTTATGGCAAATAAATGGAGGAAGCAAAAACTTTTCAAGTCTGTTCAAATATTGAAAATATTACAATTTGAAGAAAATTAATTTTTATTATCGAACTATATACATATTGAAAATGCATATTGGTAGGACTTTAACTGCATGCAGTTTTCTTTAGAGTCGACATTTTTACAAAACATATTTATGTAATTTTGATGATTTTCAAGGTCATTTTTTAAACCAAAGTCTCATACGTATGTATTTTAATTGCATATTAACTTAGTACAAAACAAATAGATACATTAATATATTTATATTTATGGAATATCGATGTGAATTACTTAACAGATATAATACCATACGATTTCACGCGAGAGAAAGCTAAACTTCCAAACAAAGCTCTCGACAGAAACCCAAACTAAACTAAAGAAAACTATTTTTACGTCTGAATAACTCACCCACACCCTCTGAACAGTCGAAGCTATATGCCTGTGCATATGCATTCGCTATATACATTTACGACTACACACACAGACCCCAACTGAATGTAATCTATAATTTATTGAGCCAAGCCAAACAAAGAGACAAACTCAAATAAATCAAACAAATGGCTTTGGGCACATCACACACACAATACGAGTACCCGAAAGTAAATAAAAAATACTACTAAATATACATCTGAGTCTCCGAAATGAACAATCTTTATCTGTGGAATGCAGGATACCATAGTTGCTATGCTGATCCTTTGTATGATCTATGCCTTCATGTGGAAGTGATCCTTTTCAATTTGAGGACTTTAGAAAACTGAAAAGGCGCTGTGGTAAATGTTATACTCTTTTTTTAAAGCAATGATCGGTAGTCAGACAAAGGTATCCAGAATTCGATATTTAGCCAAACCAGTTGATCATAAATTGGCAACACCCGGCTAAGTATGCTACAAAAAAGAGGACGCGAGGATGTCGGGACATCCATATACCCATATGGTAGGGGCCATATAGGGGCTCTATAAAGGCAGCGGACGATCCACTGAGATAGAGGTCGATGTTGAGGTGGGTTTGCGTGGCGGCGTTATCATTGATTGCGTACAAATTAACATTTATGCGTCCGTTAGCGTTAGATAATCTTATCGGGAATTTGCAACAATTAGATAGACGTGTCCAGCAGTCGCCGCCAAATCCTCCTCTTCACCCAGTCAGTCATTCAGTCAGTCAGTGAACACCATGGCCAGTCATCGATTAGCTCCATCTGTCATGTTCGCCGCGAATTTCACCAGACCAGACTCCGGCTGGCCATTGGGACAGGCGCACGGGTACTTGGAGCACAGCGATGAGTGCATCTTCCAGAGGAGACAGCCCACGGTGGCGATCTTCGTGCTCTACGGACTGGCCATTCCCACCTTGTCTGCCTTCGGGCTCTGCACGAACTTCATCAACGCCATGGTCTTCATGCGACCCAAGATGACGCCGTCGGCCTTCAGCTACCTGGCGGCCCTTTCCTGGATGGACTGCATCTCGTGCCTGCTCATCACGATGACTGCCTTGTCCCGGAGCTACTTCTACAACAGTCCACCCTGGATTGCCTACGACTACCAGTGGCAAACGCCATTCTTCGGCATCAGCACGGGAGCAGCCAACCTGATCCTGGCCTGCCTCAGCCTGGATCGATTCACCTACCTCTCGAGTTTCAAAAGAAACAACGGAGCTCCTCGCTTTTGTCGCCGCAAGGTGGCTCGCTGTATGATCGTTGTGGCCATAGGCACATCCATAGTGGTCAACATGCCCTACTTCTTTGTCTTCTATGTCTCCGACTCGGGAACATGCCATGTCACCGACTTCTACTACTCAAAGTGAGTATAGGCTGGAATGGGTGTAATGAGTAAATGTTCTATACTTATTCCTCTTACCCACAGGTTCTACAAGGTCCAAAACTGGTTTACCTTTGCCCTGCTGGCCCTCTTGCCGGCCATTTTCCTGCTCATTGGCAACACGGCCATTATAATAGCCTTTCGAAAGTGGACGAAGCAGAGCCGAAAGTGTCACGCCAGCCAACCCACTGCCAATAACCGCACCACCGCCAAGCGATATCAGGTATTTTGTTGGATATAAAAGTGGTGCCATTTAGGTGTAAGTTGTGTTTATATACATGATGGCCCTAATCACATACTGCCGAATATTACAAAACAAAAAACACTAAAACATAAACTTATAGCACAATTTAGCAAACAATATATCTTCCTTATTCCAGCACCAAATGAAGCTGACCATCAGCATAGTGATTGTGATCACACTGTACTTGATTGGCGAACTTCCCGCCCACATGACTTCCAGGAAGAGCTCCTTGAATCTATTATTCGGCGGCGACACCAACAAGGTGGACGAGTCCTTAATGGAGAAACTGGAGGTGATCTGCATTACGCTAAATGCATTGCAACTATCCCTGAACATAGTGGTGTATGCGGTGATCAATCCTTCGTTCATGCCGGAGTTTTTCCTGTGCCTCAAGGGAACCTCCGACCTGTGCTTCGGGCTGTGTTGTTTCCGGGCGCTGCGGAGGATTTGGAGGAGCTGCCTGGCAAGGCGACAACCGCAGGCTGCGGCGGTGGAGCGAGTGGTCAGCAGTGTGAGTCCCCAGCACCTGCCGGCGGATGAAGCCCTGCCCTGCGGATGCGAAAGTTGGGCCAGCGATTCTGGCTGCCAGAACAATGCCCATTGCAAAACGGCGGTGGGAACGTTTACCATGAAGGATTGCGAGCACGATGTGGAGGTTCATTGCTGTCACGAGCCGGAGGTATTCACCACCAGATCGAGCGCCTGCCTCCACTCCAAAGACCCCGCTCCCGACGAGGATTCCATATTCAGCTCTAGTTTTATTATAATTACTTAGGCACACCTATTTACTACACATAACTAGAATAAGAAATAATACACTTAATAGTTTTTAGGAGAATAGTTTATAGGAGCATTGTGCTGTAGCGGTTCAAAAGTCGATTCCATATCTTGTTGGTGAATCCTCGAGCTGCTTTTTCATCATTATCGAAAATTTTGTAGTAGAGATGTCCAGGTTGAATCTTGTGTATCACCATGTGCACCATTCCTTTGCCCTGCTTCTCATCCTTATGCAATTTTCGTCGCATTATAATGGGTTTCCTAGTAACTTTCTCTTTGATATCAGTTGAATTGTTCGTTGCGTTGTGTTGGGATTGAACTTGGATTATAAATAAAAACACCAAAAGAAAGCTAAGGAAATACTTCAGAGTCATCGTGAGACACAAGTGGCTTCAAAGGAGTCTCAGTTTAAACTGAGCTTCGCAGAGAAATTTAATTGAAGCCAATGTAGATTTTACAGTTGAGCAAATAGTTTGAAGTTTGATGAATGATACCCATCAGCAGGAGATACATACTATTAAAAACCGGTTTCGTTTCATAAAAGACAATACTGAAAAACAACGGGGATGAAACACTTTTATTGACTTCGAATCACTTGGTAAACAAGTAAATAGCCACAATGAGACCATACAGACCCAAGACCTCGGCAAATATCAATATTAGAATGACGGCCACAAAGAGCTTTGGCTGGTTGGCAGATGCCCGAACTCCAGCCTCCCCAATAACACCGATAGCGATTCCAGCCGCCATCCCAGAGACACCCACGGCAAGTCCAGCACTCAGGTTGAGGAAGCCCTTGTAGGAGGAGTAATGTTTGTTAAGCGAACCAGCCAGCAGCACCGCAATCACCAGTCCATAAATGGCTATAATGCCGGCCATGACAACTGGGACAATCGCCTTCATGATCAGCTGCGGATGCTTGATCGACATGGAAGATATTCCAACCGAGGCCTTCGCGGTTCCATAAGCAGCTCCCAATGTGGAGAAGACGATTGCCGCCACGGCGCCCATCACGCAGAAGAAGGCGGCATAGTGCGGCTGATCCAGCGAGGGCTCAGCTGTTATCATCTTTCAGTCCAATAATTTTCCTTTCGCAGCAGAAAAAATCAGTGAGTGATGTGGTTTAAAGCACCTCTGAAGTTCTCAACCAAGGTTGTTTGATAAAATAACTATCCCAAAAATCTTTTAAAACATTAATTTTTCAGTGTTTTCTTCAACATTTAATCATATGTACAGGTTCAAAAGTATTTGAGAAATACTCGTTCTCTCTAGCCAAAACAAAGTTGTAGAGTAATTAAGTTGTCACTGCCTTAAAAGTGGCTTGAGAGGTTAACACTAGAATATTCTTAAATACTTTTAGATAGGTTAACACTAGAATATTCTTAAATACTTTTAGAGCATTTAACTCTGCTTATTAATAGTCAATTTCATCTTAAATAACCTTATACAATTTTAGAAAGTTTAATAAAGAAAATACATTCCATGGACCCTTTAATAAGATCGTTTCATAATCTTTTTGGTCGCAAACTATGCTTAAAACCATATATTACATAATATTAGTAACCTATTTCAGCTGGAGGTATAATACAGTGGAAAATGTTTCTTACAAAACCTACTTGCCTTGCAATTTGGATAGAAAATCCATGAGAAACTGATGCCTCCCGCGTATTTCGCCAATGCTGCGATGCTTGAGCTTGCCGCACATACGTCGGATGAGCTGCTCTCTATCGCGAGCCCCCATTTTCATTTCGATTAGGATTACTTTGTCCTCTTCTCGAGTCCAGGGAGACGAGTGGGAGCTACCAGATTCAGATTGAGACGTGCTGGCAGTTGATCCAGCGGCTGTAGCTGCTATATCTTCGGTGGGAGAGCTGTTGGCCAGCGTGGCCACTACATCTAACTTGCAATCCTCGTCGCTGTCGAATTGCGTCGTGATAATATGCTGCGGCGTATTTCCTGCACTCACTTGCAGCGGCTCCAGTTCTTCTTCCGATTGATCCAGATCCATTTTAAGAGGCGTACATGCTTCCGTGTCCTGGGCATTCCCCTCCAGGCACTCCACCTCAATTTTTGTAACGGCTGCAGGGCTACAGCTAATCGTTGGCGTTGGAGCCGGCTGCTTGGCCTGCGCAATAATCCGTATACCCGCCTTTGTATCTGCCGCATCCCGGACACTTTCCTGATCGATCAACGTGCGCAAACGTTTGGCACACTCAATGGCGGGCGACGATGAAGGCTGTGACTCATGGATCACGACCATAGGTTGGTTATTTGTGCGCTGTCTACCCTGAGATTGATTCAGAGGTGATCGAACCTTCTTGGTGGGTGACTTTCTTTTGTCCACATGAGGAGAACTATTGATTGTTGCCGACAAGGGACTCAATCCCGAGCTGTTAAATGCCGATTGCTTGCGTGGTGATATTTCACCGAAATTGATAGATGTTTTCTTAGCGTTCGGGTGATGGTGTCCATGAGAATTTCCCACATTGGGCGTACTGGTAGCTGCATTACTAAAGCTGGAGTTGGTATACAAACTGGCATTTAATCGGATTGCATGCGCTTTTAGGCCCGCCTCATCGCACATCTCGATGGATGAACAGCTGTTCTGTTCATCGCCCGTTGTATCAATAACTAACGCACGACTGGCGTCATCCTCCTCACTCCGATCCGCAGCATCGTCGCTATCTGTATTGGCAGCCATACTCAGGAGCTTCTCTCCCTGGGCACGAATCCCATGAGCACAAGTCATGGATTCACTGGAAGCCGATGGCACATCATGGGATTGTTCGTTGTAAATACTAGCAGCCATAAAGGAAAGCTTGGCCGGCAGCAGGATCTTGGCGCCATAGAAAATCCGCCCATTAATGTACTTTAGGTGACAACCAGGTTTACTTGGCGTAGGTACATCCAAAAACTCATGAATCGTTTCCGTATATTCCCCCGAAGTGTTGTTTTGAACATCATGAAGATTTATAGTCTCCACGGGAGACAGGATTCTAAAAAATTAAAAAAATGTTGAATAAAACAGTCAGGAGTACGTTTACCTTATTCTCACCTTTTCGGGGGCTTTCCCTGGGGAAATTGCTGCACAAACCAGTCGGCCAGAAACTGATTGCCCTTGAGCAAGGGCATTATCTTGTTCTCAACCTTTTTCATGCTTACGTTGGGCAATTCTGCCAACTCGCTGAGGCAGGCATAGATCTTTCTGATCTGAGCGGGCTGCTTGTTGAAGTAAATGTTCAGTTTGTTGATGAAGTTGGTGGCATTGCTTATCATAAAGTGCTCAAAGAATTTGCCTATCTCAGCTGCCTCCGCAGGTAGCAAAAAGTTAAGGAATACCTCTGCCAGTTCTGGGTGATCGGGCAGCAAGATTTTTTCCACTTTCTGTGGGCAAGCCAACTAGTTTAATCTAAATTAAGCGGAAATAATTCAGGAGACCTTTACCTGATATAGAGCTGAGACCTTCTCCTGTCTTGGATCAAAATTCTGCAGCAGGCTATTGAATTTTCTGCAATCTTCCAGCCGATCGGCATTTAGCAAGGCCTCCTCCACTTTGTCGTAAAAATTCAGAGCAAAAACTGTGCAATAACGAACATAAAATAAATAAGTTGTATCTCATTGAATGGTAAACCAAATAGAACTCACTGGCATCTTTGCGATTGCGCTCCTCTGGGGAATCCGGCTGGAGCATGTGTCGCAGCATCTCCTCCTGTCGATTTGCCCTCTTGAGCTTGGCCGCCTCGTCATCGCTTCTGGTTCTTTTTGGCTGCGTTGCCGTTGCAGTTTTGGCGGTGGTGGTGCTGCAGAACATCTTCAGATCGACCAACAGTTGGGTGTACAGTTCGAGGGCCACAAAACGAATGTGCACGAGCTGTACCAACTCGCAGGCTATATACTTGTCCCTGCGTCCACGCAGGTAGGATCCGTAGGTAGTGATTAGCGAATAGCAGCGCTTACTGAGTTTATGGCGCAAACGTTCACGCAATTTGTGGTAGCGACTGCGAGTAGGCGTTGATCCCTTTCGCGATTTATTGGTGGCTTGAACCTTTGGCTTGAATATTTGATAGCGCGCCCTTTTGGCGCTTCTGCCCGCAAAGGAGGCGCTGCTATCCGACGCAGGCAAAAGATCCTGCTGTACGGCCTCGCTGGAGTCCTCAAGCTCGCAGATTTGCAGGGTGTGCGTGGTCTCGTCTACTCTAAAGTTGACGGCGGGCGGGGCATCTTCGGCCAATGGTGGCGGAGCAGGGGGCAGGACCAGCAGACCACTGCACTCAACGCTGGTGTACAGGCTGCGGTTGATGTTCAACACATTGTCCGCCAGGCGTCCGCCGGACACAAGAGGCACCGAGACCCCAGATACTCCGGGTAAGTTTCCCGCGTTGGCATCGCCGCCAAACACATAATTCACATTTATGGTGAGCTGTGGCGGCTGTTCCGATGGGCGGGTCTTCCTCTGTGCTGGCTTTTTCCTCGCTTTGCAATCCCTGCCATCGGGGACCGCGGCCTGTCCAAAACTCTCCGGCAGCAGCAAATCCTCGCCGACAGCCTCGCGCACGAATTCCAGATACGAGGCACTGGCTTCTGAGGACGCTTTAGAGGCCTTAAAATTGCGGCGGGTGCGCTTTTGCTCCCAGGTTTTCTGCAAAAATGTCAGTAAATTGAAAATTTTCCGCAATTTATAAACACACAGTGATGGCACAAGCACTGAACGGTACTATCGATAGCTCGTGTGGGTGGTACCTAGCCACCGATAAAAATTGATGGGAAAGGGTAAGTATTATAAGCTAATAATAACAGTAAGGAGATAAACTTAAAAGTAAAAATATAATTAAATAAACCATAAAATTATATCAAATAAATTAAATACACATGTACCTAATGTAGGTACAACAATCTAAATGAAGCCCATCACTGGCGATAACATTCTGCCTGCCTATCGTACTTTTGACTGCACTAAAAGTAAGAGCGACAACATATTTTTTTGTTTTTAAATAAAATAAGACATACAAAAATCAGTAAACTAACTAATTTATTTATTTTAAAATATTGCCACCAGGACTCAAGGATTCGGCTAGTTAAGAACGGCAGAAGCGCGTTAAATCCCGGAGAAAACTAAAACTGACCACGTCTGCACATTCCAATATGAGCAAAGTAACCTTCAAAATCACGCTAACATCGGACCCTAAGCTGCCGTTTAAGGTGCTCAGTGTTCCGGAAGGAACTCCCTTCACGGCCGTACTGAAATTCGCATCGGAGGAGTTCAAAGTTCCGGCCGAAACGAGTGCCATCATCACGGACGATGGCATCGGCATTAGCCCACAGCAGACCGCTGGAAATGTGTTCCTGAAGCACGGATCGGAACTGCGCCTGATACCCAGAGATCGGGTGGGCCACCAACTAAGCTAGTTTCCCTAGTTCATTCGTATTTCCCCTTGAGATTCCCCCCTTTTCAATGCTTATTAAAATGTTAATCGATGTAATCGGTAGTAATCTATTGTATTCCTTACCTCGATGTAGTATTGCCAGCCACTGGGCAGCTCCTGGTGACGTTCTCGTGGAGTTCTCACCAGTCCACCCTCGAATCCCCAAAGGGTGTGGTTCGTGGGCGGCGCTCGCTCGTGGTCAAGAAAGTATTTTACTGGATTATACTGCTTCGATTCGCGAAGCTCACTTATCTTTATAAAAATCCGACGGGCGTTCTTGCCATAAATCGTATCCTTGGCCATTCGCGTGGATGCAACTCGAATGGGATCTGTACCCTTGCGAAGTGGTCTTTTAGCTTTCTTAATGGCTGAAATGTGTTTCTCAAGACCAATGGCGATAAGCTGATACTCGGAGGGGGCATAGGCAGTAATTTGGGTCAGTTTCGGTTGAAAAGCCATTCGAGGAAGGTACTGAGGGTACATAAACACCTGGCTATCAAGCATAAGATCCATGATACGAGGCGCTAGTCTTGGAACCTGCCGTGTGTGGCCATCACTAAAAGAATTAAATATTAGTTATAAGATTTGTATGTCATATTTGTCTTCAACTCACGTCAAATCTGTTTCCTTGTTAATGAACTCCATCATCTTTTCGTTCTCCTGCTTAAACTCATCACTACACAAATCATGCTCCCACTTCCTTACCAGCTGGACAGCTCCATTAAGGTTCCAGCAGTTAAAGCTAGCATCTTTGGTTGCCCTTTTGTAGAGTTCCTCCAGCATTTCCCTGGGCTTCTTGGCCATAGGATACAAAGTGGGATGGGAGTAAGTCTGCAGATAACTCTGACTAAGCATTTGGGTGTGAATGCGAAGCTGCTGCTGAAGAATATCATGTTGGTTTTGAGTGAATCCCTTGCTCCTGGCAAGGTGATTGGTATTAGATGGCTGCACATTACGCAGGTTTTCAAACTGATTCTCATACTCCGAGTAAATGTGCTTCTTCACCGAGATGTATTCCCAGGTAAAGTTGGTGTCAAATGGTTTTTTGTAACGATCTTCATTGCTTTTCGATACACTGAGTGGTTGCACTGTCTCCATGGTGGAGTAATTGTGGAGCGTTTCATCTGTTAATGGAGGACTAATAAAGGTGGAGTCATTAGCGACAACTTTGGCCAGTTGGAAGCAATTAGGTTGACCAGGTATTGGAACAGCTATAAGTTCTGGAGGTGCACCCAAAGCATCCGATGGTACGTTCACCACCTTGCAGGGCGTTCCTCCGGGACCTTTTTCCAGATTTCCCTCCTGCATCACAGCCACGGGAACGGGCATCACCATGCCCATATTGTTTACATCACAGGGAGGGGGTATCTCACATTGTTGGAAGACCTGTAGGTCCTGCTGATGGTCATTTACCATAACTTGACCATCAAAATCAATATTTCGAGAAACCTGATCTATGGGAGTCATCGAGACGTTGGCACTTTCCATGAATTTTTGAGGGGTCTCCAATTCAATTGATTCAAGAGAGACTCCTTCTTGCAGCAAGCCAGCAAACAATTCTGAGACCAGGTCGGTCAACTCCTTTTTGGATATGTTGACATCGCGTAGTTCCTCAGCATTCTCGTACTCTGATTCCAAATGATCAGCGGCTTCATACTCCGGATCGTTGATGGGATCATCGTCGTCGCCCAGAACGGTGTTGCCTGCAAGATACAACAGTTAGGAGGATCAATCAAAGAACCGCCGAAGCAGCTACCCACTTAAAGGTTTTGTAAAGTCATTGAGGAACTGCATCCAGTCTGCATCAGTGGCGGTCAAATCGTTCTCCACGACATCACTAGGCTCCACGTCCGGCGGCACGAATTCGGACTGCAAATCCTCGATGGTTGTCTGCTGCAGACAGAATTTGGAGCGCGTTCTGGTGGATATACGCAGGTCGTCGTTGTCGAGCAGATTCTTTTCGAATGGCACCTTGAAGCAACCATCATCGGAGAATTTGACAGGAGAATCCTCATTGGCAGTGAGCGGAGTTTGCGGTGTGCAGGGACTGGAATCGAAATCCGATGCTGTAGTGTTGGGATCATCATCCGACTGTGGGTTAAGGAGCGAGTTAAAAACGGCCAAGTGGCTTACGTTTCATACCTACTTGAAAGTCCTCCTCCTTGAATGTGTATTCCTCGTCCTCCTCATCGGAGTGCAACTCCTCCCGAATCAAAGCCTCTATGCTATCATTGTCGACACAAGTGTCGTTAAGCTGGGGCAGGGAAATGCCGGGAGTGCAGTTTAGTTCCCGGGCTTTCGCTCGGGTGAGCTTGGGCACGGATGGAGTGTCCGTAATAATGATGGCGCCCCGTTTTTGTTGCTCCGCCGATTCCACCCTCTTCTCCCGCGCCAGCTCGTCCTCCGCTTTCAAGGTGACCAGGGCTAGGACATGATCGTTGCGCACCACCTTCCGCACCACCTTTTGCATGTCCTCGGCGCTTATGGAGTTATCCTTGGCCACTTTTCGCAGCCGGCGATCGATCTCCTTAGCATCTTCGTCTACCTGCGAATCCAGGCTCTGGCGATCAACGCGGCGACGCTTTCGCGGTCTCCGTGGCGTGGAGCTATTGCTCCGCAAGGAGTCTGACTTTTTGGCACTGTTCGACATTTCGTTGCTTCATTTATTAATCAAATTCCAACGCAAACTTTGCCGAGCCGCAAAACAAAAAGGTTTACAATTGTTTACACCAAATGCCGCCACTAGAATGTACGATGAACATCAGAGCTGGACCGATTGCCGGTGCTGTATCGATAGTATCGATGTTCCAAAAAAATTCAAAAACAAATTTTAATTACATAGTATAAGAGTTTACAAAAATGTAATTGCATTTGTCTGACAATTTAATTCTTACACATATTTGCTATTAAAAACAGAGTATCGATGTTATATCGAATTCTCCTTCTGCTTCACTTTTACACCCTCTGGTCACACCATGCTCTGCTTTTCCGGGCTCCTGCCCAAAAATATTATAAAATAAAACCTGCTCCCCGAGACAATTATCACCGAGGGTGGCGCTGGCCTGAGTAGCACCTGAGCATCTGAACTGCCTTCCTCCCGCCGGAGGACTGTCCCGACCAGGAGATCCGCCTTCGTCGCCCTGTTAGTGAGGTAAGCCCGCGATTTAAAATGAATCACATGCCCACCAAATGATGAATGACTCCACCCAAAGCCCTAGAATCCAGAAAATGACACAGAAGGTAACCAAGCTGGCGCTGGCCAGCCGCCTCATCGTACTCCTGGTCCAACTGGTGGCCAACGGAGCCCTGCCGGAGCACAGGCCGGACGTATTCCGGACGCCGGTCTCAGTCGAGCAGAAGAGCTGCTGCGATTGGATGGACAAGCTGGTAAAGCGCTGCTTGGGAGGACTGAGGCACTGGGACGGCGAGTACTTCCTGCACATTGCCGGGAATATGTACTCCTATGAGAATACCTTGGCCTTCTACCCACTGTTTCCGGTTGTGGTGCGTCACGTGGCACAGGCTTTGGAGTTTATCGGCGTGCCCCTGTCCCAGGAATCCGTCCTGCTGCTGGTGGCCGTCGCTCTGAACCTCTGGCTATTTTGCGAGTCGGCCAATCTTCTGTTCCAGCTCACCCACTGGATGTTTAACGACCTAAACAAGAGCTGGAATACGGCGCTGATCTACTGCTTCAATCCGGCGACCATTTTCTTCACGGCTGCCTACTCTGAGTCCTTCTTCGCCTACGCCAGCTTCCACTTGATGCTGGAGTGCTTGAAGCCAACGGAAAATTTTCGTTTCCTGCGTTTGGGTGCCGCTTTAACCGGCTGCGTACTGTGCCGTTCAAATGGATTGATCACCATGGGATTTCCGCTGTACTTCTTTGCCCGCCAGCTGCTGGTCAAGAGCAAGGAACACAACTCCTTCTGGCAGCTCGGACAAATGGCCCTGACCGTTCTGGGCGCCGTGGGGATTCTGCACACCTACTATTTCTACATCTATAGACTGTACTGCCTGCCCTCAAAGACGGAGAACCATCCACAGCACATTCTTGACTACGCAGACGAGCGGAAGTACCTAGTGTCTGGTCAGGGTTCTGAAGGATCTCCCTGGTGCCAGTACACGCTGCCATTTCCGTACACCTACGTGCAATCACACTACTGGGATGTGGGTTTCCTACGCTACTACAAGTGGAAACAGCTGCCCAACTTCCTGCTGGCCCTGCCCATGCTGAGTTTCATGCACTGGCACTGCTACGGTTACCTGCGGGACTTCATCAATGCGTTTAGGGCGAAGGTCACACCCTCTGGATACCGGGAGCTGGTCAAGGAGCACATCGCTTTTCCCTTCGTGCTGCACGCTGCCTTCCTTACCCTCGTCTGCACCGTTTTCGTGCACATCCAGGTGTCCACGCGGCTCCTGGCCTCGGCCACACCCGTTTTCTACTGGTTTGCCGCCGACCACATGCCCAAGACACTGGCGCAGCTGAAGCTGCGCTCCAAGGCGGGAGCTCTCTTCATATGGTGCACCACTTACAGCTTGGTGGGAACTGTGCTATTCAGCAACAATTACCCCTGGACGTGACTCATGTAATGAAAGAAGAAGTTTAGCAGGAGCTGGAGGAGCATAAGGAGCCGCTGGTTGCCAAAGAGACTGTTTATCCGCAGGGATTGCTTTTTAGTGTAAATAATCGTCCAAGTTCTCCAAATTGAATTGATAATTGTTGAGACGCTCAAAGTATTGGTTTTCTATTTAAGTTTCCGATCGTATAAACTTACAAGTTTTAAAAATTGCAAAATATAATTAATTGACAATTTGGCTAATATTAATAAAGTTTTAAATTAAAAGTGGTAATTTTTTTGACCAAGCAATTGGCTAGCTGCCTACCACCTAGATTACAACGATTTAAGACTAACTAAAACAGAAGCAATTAAAAATGTTAAGTAACTTCATTTTACTTATAAAACGCTATGTTTTAACTATAAAAAATTATTCATTTTTGAATGAGTTGTTTGGCGGTCAATTTTAAAAATTGTAATTTCATTTTTTTGGTATATTTTACGGCATAGACAGTCACACTGGCAATCAGCTGTTTTGTGTGGCAGATCAAAACAACAAAGAAAACTTTAGTCAATATTGTTTATCAATTAAAATCCTTGAGGAAAAACTTAATCGCCATGGAGGGCCATCTGCGCCTGCACAAGGTGGGCGACTACGCAGCACCGAGCCATCAGGAGAAGTCCAGCAAGGCGGGCGGCACCATGGAGCAGCTCTCTGGCGTGATGCTAATAATCATCATCAGTGGCGGCGTACTCACCTGCCTGATGTTGTTCATCTTCGCCAAGCGCCAGATTATGCGCTTCCAGCTGCGAGGACGACGTGGTCCCCACGTGCCGGTGGGCAACGACGCCAAGAAGGCGCTAAGACGCGAGATTGAGCGGCGGCTGGACTGCATCCAGAAGATCACACAGGAGCCAAAGCTGCTGTGGACCGATGGCGAAAAGTACATCGTTCAGCCGGAACCGGAGGCCCCTCTCCCGCCGTACTACTACCGCATGAAGGCGGTGGACGACGTGAAGCTGCTGGAATCAGAGATCGCTCGGGCAGATGGCAGTTCGCGGCACGCGCCGGAAAGCCTGAGAGCCTTTCTGCTGACCACTTTGTCGGTTACGCTGAACGGTGCCGGGCAGCGGATGATTCACCAGTACTGCGACATGTACGAGCACGCCCGCCACGATCCCAATGAGTTCGGAAAAGACGAGTACGAGGCGTATCACCATTTGCTGCTGAAACTGTTGGAGGCGTAGGTTTCCTACAGTATTTCCAAATAAAAATACTCATCCTTTTTTCACGCAGATCCAAGCAGCTGAAGAACTACAATTCCCGGAAAGCTTCACCCGCTCGAACTCCTCGCAAACAGACCAAGATGCATTCCCTCCTTGATCCTGCTCGGCTGCGTCCGCCCACCACCTTGGAAAATGTTCAACCCAGCAGCGAACTCACGACTGGGCAGCATGCCAAGGTCAATTTAACGCTGGGTCTACAGGGCGGCGGCGGTGGAGGCGGCGATGGGGATGCCGAACTGGCCACCAATCCTCTTCATCTGCAGGCGCCATCCGATAGGGACCTTATTATACGCAATAGAATTAAGACGCCCACTTTGGACGACATTATAGTAGAGGCTGATCACCACCAGAACAGCGATGCAGGGCCCCTAGAAGACAACGAGATTAAAAGCATATCGTCAATGCAGTTCCAGCGGAGCTCCAGCAATGTCTAAGCATGTTGGCTACATTTTAAGTATTCTTTAGTTACTAATGGTTATCACTTAAATTTATTTGTTTTTGATATTTGCTCTCTTAAATGCAATGAAAATACTTTAAAAAAAAATCGTATTTAACAATTTTCTTTGAAAGTATTTTCTTTATTTTTTAAATTTTTTAAGAAATCTATAATAAATCTATAATTTCGTAAACTATTGCCTAACTTCAAAATAGCCAATTGGGCAGCTCCCTCCTAAAATATGAAAATTTGCGTCTGGTTTTCTTTAATATTTAAGCTTAAACGCTGTTTCCAAAATAAAAAAACGCTCTTTATAATATTAATGAATTTATTCACTTGTTTCAATGATCGTCTGGCAGTTTCAGAATGAAATTCACATCCTATTTATCTTTTTTACAATGTGGCATGTAAAACGATTTTAAAACTTTTATATTTCTAATTCTTGTAAAGTATTTTTTACTTTTTCTTGCAAGGATCGTCTTTCTTTTTGGGACAAGGATCTTTCTTTTTAACACGAAGATCTTTCTTACAAGGATCCTCCTTTTTCTTGCAGGGATCTTCTTTTTTCTTGCAGGGATCTTCCTTTTTCTTACAGGGATCCTCTTTTTTCTTACAGGGATCCTCTTTTTTCTTACAGGGATCCTCTTTTTTCTTACAAGGATCTTCTTTTTTCTTACAGGGGTCCTCTTTCTTCTCACAGGAGTTGGCCTTGTCCTTCTCGGCACACTGGTCGACCAGTTGGGCGTAGAGAACCAGGTCCAGGAGTCGGCAGGAGTAGCCCGTCTCGTTGTCGTACCAACTGATCAGCTTGACGAAGTTATCGTTCAGGGCGATACAGGCCTTGGCATCGAAGACGGACGCAAAGCGTGAGCCGTTGAAGTCGGTGGACACCACCTCCTCCTCAACATAACCCATGATGCCCTTCAACTCGCCCTCGGCCGCTGCCTTGATGCACTTCTTGATGTCGTCCATTTTGGCGGGCTTGGTGAGTCGACACGTGAGGTCCACCACCGAAACATTGGGCACCGGCACGCGGAACGCCATGCCCGTGAGCTTTCCGTTCAGGTCCGGGATCACCTTGCCCACCGCCTTGGCGGCTCCCGTGGCGGCCGGGATGATGTTGGTCATGCCGCTGCGACCATCCCGCCAGAGCTTGCTGCTGGGTCCGTCAATGATCTTCTGGGTGGCCGTGGCCGCGTGCACGGTGGTCATCAGGCCCTCGCAAATTTCAAAGTTATCGTGCACCACCTTGGCCAGCGGAGCCAGGCAGTTGGTGGTGCAGGAGGCGTTCGATATGATCTTCATGTCGGGCTTGTACTTGTGCAGATTCACTCCGCACACGAACATTGGAGCGTCGGCGGATGGAGCCGATATGACCACCTTCTTGGCTCCACTATCCAGATGCGCTTGGCAGGCCTTCAAAGTGGTGAACCGACCGGAGCACTCCACCACAGTGTGCACGCCCAGCTCGCACCAGTTCACCTTCTTGAGATCAGACTCCTTCAGCAGCTGGATCTTCTTGCCGCACACGGTCAAGGTGTTGCCCTCCAGCGAGATCTTGTGCTCGAACAGGCCATGGGTGGAGTCGTGGCGCAGCATGTAGGCCAGGTACTTGGGGTCCAGCGAAGGGTCGTTAATGGCCAGGATCTGCACATCCTTGCGCACCAGCGCCTGGCGGGCAAACATCCGTCCGATGCGGCCGAACCCATTGATTCCAATTGCAGACATTGTGTAAGCACCACTTGGAATTTGGAAGAATTTTGATAGATGTGACTAGGTGAGAGTCAAACCAACATGCCATGCGAAATATATTATGAGTGTAGACCCCCAGCCTAGATCTTTCCAGGAGCTTATGGCTCCCTGGCGAAGGGAATACATACATAATTACGCAGCTGGGTATAAATCAATCGAACTCGGCCACCTGCCAAAGCTTCTCACGAAACAAAATTACAATAACCTTCGGGAACGCCCCGTCCAAATTGTCTGGAGCCCCAAGAAAGGGGAGTGGCTGCCAAATTGCTGGCCACACACATACACGGGAATAGAAAACCCAGCTTCAAGGGTCATTACTCACCTTTGTGTGGAATGCCTCACTCCTTCGGGGACCCCACCCTTTCATACACTTCAAACAACTTACTCCAATTGGACAGGATATTTCACCCAAAGCCATTTTCACAATTCAAGAATCCCTCAGGTTGACCTTTTAAAATATTCAAATTAAATAGTTCGATACTCGTAAAGAACAAATGCCACTTCGATCCACATAAGCCAATTTGTCAGGCTTTTGCACTTTAAGGAATTTTTAAATAAAGTAAACCTAAAAATTATTATTATTTAACTTAGTATAATTCCAACACATGTTTATTATAATTATTGTTGATTTAATATTTTAGTTTGATAAGTATATTTAGTACTCTTTTCTTAACTGGAAACTTAAATTCGTCCAGTTTTCTTGGCACCAGTATGGGTGGAAAGAACTTAGTGTTTCCTAGAAAAGAGTCCTTCATAAAAGTCCCAATTTAGCAAGCCACCGTAAGCCTTTTTTCCTGTGTGTTGCTCCTTCTTTTCGAGCATAGCAGATGACGGCCATCAGGCATAGAAATTTCCATTCCCGGTGGCCATCTGCCCCTTGGCCCATGACTCGGCTGGAAATATATTGAATTGAAGTTTTATTCGTTCGCCTGTTGGTGGAGACCCCCCGTCCTGCCATCGACCTGTCCTCGGGAGGGGGAAATCGTTCCTCAACGGGCTATGACAACTTAACTTTGTTGAATATTTATGATGCTGAAGCAACAGCAGGACGGCTGGCAACATGTTGCTAGCAACATTTCGACGCCCCCGCAGGAAATCGAAATTTTCAACTGAGAGCAAGGACTCTCTCTCTCGCTCTCTCTCTCTGGCAGGGAAAACTGGGCTCTCCGGGTCCTGTGGTGAGTTTTCCTATTGGGGCCGCCGCTGGTTACGAAATGGTTGCAGTAATCGCAGCACCCGCAGTTGCAATCCCTGGATATCGCGAGCTCCGAACTGGAAACCCCGAGCTCCGCCTCTTTGTATCATTTATGTTTGAGCTCGAAATTCGTAGGTGCCATAAATGTTAAATGCTCCCCCATCAAATCCCGTAAAATTTGAGTTCATTTTATGGACTCTGGTCGTCACAGGATCTAAGCTGTGGCAGCCCGGAACCCTTGCAACTTTGTTTGGGGCCAGCTTGTTTACTTCAGTGTCCCTGCTTTCATTCCAGTTTCGTTGTCGGGTGCTACTTGAAATTTATGCGAAAAACTTTCAAATTTGAAACTTTCCTGTCGAGAGTCGCCGCTGAGAAATGGGCTACTGGAGCAACAGGAGCAGGACAAAATTTAGCATTCAAATCCCATTTAAAGAGCAGCTTAACTAACTTTTGCCAAAGTGTTGAAACACGGAATATGTGCAATTTAATTCCACACAAAACTATGAAGATAGTAGTAGTGTTATGGAAATTTCGGCACAGAAAAGAGCTAGCAATTTACGAAGGTAATCTGTGGCTTATGTTTTTTGTTGACGTTTTATCGGGTTGGTTAGATCACTGAACTAAGTTTTAACTGCCCGCCAGCAATTCTGAAATTCTAGATATTTCATATGAGTGGCAACTTAATGTTGGTTACAAAGGTTCTTTCTTAATCTTAATCACAGTTTTTCAACACTCATCAAGCAATAAGAGAAGTGTTGGCAGTTTATATTTGTTACAGCTTAACACGCAGAAAAAATATGTTTTCAATGGGAGTATCGGTTTAACGTTTGGGAGTATCGGTTTAACGTTTGGATAGTTTACATAAGAGACTGCCTTATTAAAATTAAAGTTCATGAATATACAATAGTTGTAAAATATATGTGCCAGGGACTCCTTAAATAGCCGCTGATATTAAATATTAAGTAGACATCCACTTCGATTACATTTCTTTTCGTGTACTTGCGCACATAAAGGACCAATGGCAAATGTCCCTCCAGGGCCTCTTTAACTTGTTGGCCGGGCCAGGAGCCCCACTAAAGTTTGTCTACAAGGCGGATAAATGTATTTAAGACCGTGGCCGGCATTAAACCAGACCAGGCTTACTCTTAAGGAACAGGAAAACAAATCGATTGCGAAATGTTGCGGAAGTGCCAATTGTTTTATTATATGTTTTTTCCAGCGGCGAAGGACGGAGTGCCTCCATAACTTCCACAGCTGTCAATGCGCCGCGGAACAGCTTAGCATTGGGACTCGAGATTCCCCAGCTCCTTAGCTCCTCCTCACTTCCTAATCGCATTGAGCTTATACATTTTCCATCATCTGAAGCACGGGGTGGGTGCAAAAATGTTGTTTGGCTGCTTAGCGATTATCCGGGGGATCAATATTCAGCAGCCAGCTGCAGGGCCCTGCAATAGTTTTCAGCAGTCGGGTGGTACATCATCTCCAAATTGAATTGTCAGGCACAAGTGCGCTGCTGTGCTGCGAATTTTCGGAGGAACAAAGGGCCATTCGGCGAACAAAGGACAAGGCGACAAGGAGCGGGCCACATCCAGCCGAGCCTGGCTATGCTCGCATTCAAACTGACAGCTAATTGTGCGCTCAAGTGGCTAAAGGGGGCGTGGCTGGGATTTGAATTCCGGACTCACCCGGACTTGTCCTCGCCAGAACTTGGAATTAAATCAAAGGGCCAATGCGGCAGATGGAAATCGTTTATTTCGCTTTCTCTGCCTTGGCAAACTTGGCTTTTGGCAGGTCATGAAATTCGTAACCTACACGAAATCGGGCCGAAAAATATATCTCTTGCCAAACAAATCGGCTGCAACACACATCGAGAACCAGAACAATTTTGACAGAGAAGTCAAGCCATTCAATGACTTAGATATAATTCAATTTGCATTTTTGCGGATGCGGAATGACATTTTTTCCGCTGCGGCATTGAAAGTTTTCCCGGGACTTTCATGGTAACTAAGTAAATGAGTTTTCAATAAATATACCGTTGCCATTTGGAAGGAAAAAGGAGGGGGAAATGTGATTTTCCTGAAATGACTATACACTGGGAGAAGAAACTGGTTGACTTAAGTCCAGCACACAATCTGAAAATTTATTTAAAAAGCTTATTTCAATTACGGGAACTTTGCAGTTTTGCAATAGAAAAGTTCCAAGTCCTTGCATTCCTTTGATCAAAAACCAGTTGCCATTTGGGGGAAAATGGTGGGGAATTCCCTTCCATTCACACATATATTCAAGACCCTCCCTTTCATCAACTTCCGCCCCATTTGAAACCCTTTGCTTGTGTTTCTGAACCAACTTTTGTATAAGCTTTCAACTTTCAGCGCTGTGGCTTTTGACTAATTGACCCAGCTGACCAAGTGAGGGATCGCCTCAAATTGAAATTCAATGGAATAACAATTAATCGAGTATACGGGTTCAGGTGCAGTAATTACGTTGATATATGCCTGCTTGCTGGCGCTGGCCACTCCATAAATAAACCAACATTACGTATACGCAAAGGAAGCCAGGCAGTCGTGTGGGTTTTTATCCTGGCTGGAACTGGGAAAGCGAGTCAAATGCCATGAAATTTCATTACCTTCGAGAGCAGCGGCAATAGCATAAAAGTTAAGCTGCTAGCTAAACCAATTACACTAGACCCGCGATGTTCCAGCTACCAAGGGAGCAACCTGGCAAAAGCAGCAACAACCACTCGACTAACTACAACAATAATGTCAACATTGAAACCAGCAACAAGAACAAATATGTGATAGTGGGGCCAAGCCGGAAAAGCAGGGAAAATTCTGGGTTAGGGGATGGCCAAAAGCAGCAACTGTTGCCCACTAAAAAGCAAGAAACACAGAAGCCCCGGCATCCTAGTGCTGCCTAGTTTCTATTTCGAAGAGGGAATTAAAAGCGGGCAAATAGAAAGCTTGTTAAAAAGAAAATGTGTTAGAAATATTATTATCTATTTTTGTGATTTTTTTCTTTATTACAAAAAATATTTTTAAAAACGTTTTGAAAACTGCAGTTCAACTCTCGTTACATTATCTTATATCTAGTGCTAAAAGTATATACTTGCATTTATAAACAAGGTAAAATCTCCTTAATTCAAACTTATTTTGGTGGCTTACGTAATTGACTTTCAAAATAATACATAATTGGAATTTAAATATTTCTTGGAGAATTAAAGAAATTTCCGAATTCGGCTCTATTTCGTGACAACTCCGTTTTGGCAGATCTGTCGGAAAAACGCGGAATTGCCAGCGCTGTTTGGCGGGTACATTAAAGAGATTTATTTATTTCTGGCAACATAGTGTTGTGAGCGAGTATCTGAAGCGAATAAACGAAACGGAACGGAACAAGAGCAATTCCTTCACTTGTCGGCTAACACCCCACCCCCAAAAAAGACCCGGAAAACCCACCCACCAGCAAAAAGCCAGCTCACTTTCTCACTGCGACTGTCAAAAACTCATTTATTATTTAAATAATATGCAAAGGAGAAGGGGCCGAAGGAAACACGAATAAAATTCAGCCTGTTGTTCATTTTTATTTGGAGGAGCGGGCACAAGAAAACAGCAACCAAGTTTTGTGTCAAAGTTCGAGCTTCTTTTTTATGATGATGGTGATGATGATGAGGCCCGACAAGCTAAATTTTCCCTGGCCCAAGGATGTTCGGTGTCAGTCCGCAGACATCCGCTGTCAGTCGCTGTGGCGAGAAAGGAATCGAATTTGGCAAGGCAAGTTACGAGACTCGAACAAGACAATGCAAATCAAATAGTTGATTGCACATGCATAAAACAATTCCCCAGTTTATTTACGAC